TCCAGTCTGGGCGACAGAGTGAGACCCCAACTCAAAAAAAAAAAAAAAAGAACTTGCCAATGTTCCCAGTGATCTCCACTTGACTAAATTGAATGGCCCTTAGCCCAGCCTCATCCTGCTTGGTTTGTGAACAGCATTGATCACAGCTTGTGACCATGTTTTCTCCTGGAAACACTTTTTCCATTTAGCCTCCAGAACTCTAGACTTCTAATCGCCTCCCATTGCCGCGGCTACTTCTTTTTAGTTTCCACTGATACTGCTCTTCTTCTTCCTATCTTCTTAACATTGGCTCATTTCTTGAACATCTTTTCTATCACTTTCTTTTGGAGTTCTCATTCAATTTTTAAATTTTACAAATCATCTCTATCTGACACCTCCAAAATTTGTTATCTCCAACCTTTTCTTGTCCTCAAAACTCCCAACTAGCACACTCAACTGCCTGCTCCATGTCTTCATCTTGAAGTCCAATAGATAAATTTTAGTATGTCCAAAAACAAAATCCTGATTCTTCCTCAAGAACTTACTCCACCCTTATTCTTCCCCATGTTAGTTCATGGCAGCACCATTCTTTCTGTTACTCAAGCCCCAAATCTTGGAGTCATTCTGACTCCTCTTTTCCTTTCACAACTCCAAAAGCAATCTGTTGAAGACATTACTTTGGCTGTACCTTCCAAATTTGTATGGAATCAGAACATTTCTCACCATCTTCCCCACTATCTCCAGTGTCATGCAACTGTCTTATGTATTATGGTACTAACTTGCTAGCTGATCTCCTCTTCTACTTTTGCCCCCTAGAGTCTATTCTCGTCACAGCCACTGGAATAATCCTATTAAAAGAGATGTCAGACCATGTCACTGCCTTACTCAAAATCTTTTAGTGATGTCTATTTCTCTGAGAGTAAAAATTGAAATCTTACAGGCAGAGCTGTAAGTGACTTTACTTCCCTTCTCTTCTTGCTCACCATGTTCCAGTTTCACTGGCCTCCACACTGCTCCTTGATTGTACTGGGCATGCCTCCACCTCAGAGCCTTTGCACTGGCTGTTCCTTCTATCTGAAGTATACTTCCCCCAGGGATCTTCAATGTATCCCTCCATGCTTGCCAGTCTTTGTTAAAATATTATCTTCTCAGCGAGGCCTACACCAACCTCAACATTTACAACTGCAATCTCTCCACCCCACACTCCTGATACCTCCACATGCTTTCTTTATCTTTATTCATGGAACTTTTTGATTATTGACTGTCTCTCCCATAGAATATAAACTTCATGAAGTCAAAAATTTTTGTCTGTTTTGTCCACTGATGAATTCTCCTAGAACAGTTCTAGCATATAATAGATGCCCAATACATGCTCATTGAATATATGAGTGAGTAGATTTTCACTTCATGGAGAGTTCACATTTATTATTTTTCCATCACTCCAAGCCATCAAAAATTCAACCCAAACTTACATATCACTTTTACTTCAGACAGCATGCATTCAGTTATTCTATAAAACTCTGGATGTTTCTTATATGCCAGATCCTAGGGAGGACTATCCACATATAAAGATTAAATAGGATATAGTGCCTACCTTTGAGATCCTAGGAAAATTCCAGTTCTTTCTTTTTCCTGGTTAGGCCTTCTGACCTGAGTTCAAAGTATTCTTTCTTAACATGAATGTAGTAGAGCATCATTTGAGATATTTTCTTCCATTTTAAACCCTCTGTTCACGTGTTGTAAGTTCTCAGCTCAGTGAATATTTCCAGACAGACCAGGCAAGGACCATTCTCTGGAATTTAGCATGCTGGGTCCAGGTATTCCAATTCACAACCACCAAGGCTTATTGATCATATATAGTAATATGAGTTCATATTTCCTTTTCATTACTTACTTGGCAGCTTCCTCATCATATTACCTGATCATCTGTCTTTCTGGCATTCCTTTTCCATTAGTTGTGAGATTTTGACAGGCAAAGATTCCTAGTGAGTTATACTGACAACTTTCTAAGATGCGAGTAATAGAAAGCCAATTTAAACTAGCGTGAAAGTTCAGGGGCCACTTGATTCGGGAACTCAAAGTCTTCAGACCTCGGTCTTTCTTCATCTGTAAACACTCTTTTCCCCTTGTTGACCATATTCTAAGGCTCCATATGGTAGCAGATGTCCACCAATGACTCCAGACTGGTAGAAAAGAGAAGACCTATCTTCTTCAAAAAGTTAAGAGACTGGCCTGACTCTCAGTGGCTCAGATTCAGTTACATGTTTACCTCTGGATTTGAGAATAAATATCAAAAGAAGAGGAACTGTGTTGGGTGGCCAAAATTAGCTAATGTTAATTTTTTTTTTTTTTTTTGAGTTGGAGTCTCACTCTGTCACCCAGACTGGAGTGCAGTGGCACACTCCCAGTCACTGCAGCCTCGACTTGCTGGGTTCAGGCAATCCTTCCACCTCAGCCTTCCAAGTAGCTGAAACTACAGGCGCACGCTACCATGCCCGGCTAATTTTTGATTTATTGCAGAGATGAGGTCTCGCTAAGTTGCCCAGGCAGGTCTCGAACCCACAGGCTCAGGTAATGTTCATCTCAAAGATGGACTTAAGATCCTCAGCTTTGCTTATTTTTCAAGGTGTCTTCTCACACCACCTGTAGACAGATGGTCATTCTTACTAGCATTTTTCTTTTTTTGTCTCTGGCCTTTGTGACTGTTTCAATCACCTCATATTCACCCAATTGATAAGGAGGGATTCCTGCCCTAGGGCAATGTGTATGACTGAACACATAACATACAACACAACAAAATAAACAACATTGACAGCAGTTTATTAGTCACATATTCTTAAACAGCCCAGGGGAGGAGGACACTGTGCCATGCAGGGCCACATGACGGTTGCATTTGGAAACAGAGTGAACAGTAAAGGGCTGTGGAAGGCACATTGTAGAGTCAAGAGGGTATGGTGCCCCCTGGTTTCCGTGGAGAAGATGTGATTGGCTTGTTTGAATAATTCTACCAGTTGGCAGGGAACTGAAGCATGCTACTCAGGGATAAGCAGAAACTGTGCCTGGTCCTCTTGATAAAGAGAGCTTTTTTTTGGCTAAAGGACCTTATCCACAGGAACAGAGTGGGAAGGACAACTTACGAGTAATCTATTCAAGGGCCTCCCAATTTTACTAGATGTTATACAGCACATTATGTTGGACCTTCCTATTAGGCCTTATACCATAGAGACCTGCAAAAGGTTGTATATAGTTCTACGAACCTTTTCCCAAATAGACTTTCCTTAAAGTCTCGAAAGTGGAATACCTGCCTTTCTTTCCTGTGCACCTCTTTTGCAGGTAGTTATACCCATCCTGGCCAATGAGAAGAATTGCCTAGACTGGCCCCAAATGGTGTTTCAGGATGTCTGGCGGCATGCCCACAGCCTCCAGTGTGATCTCTTGGTTATCCTTGAGCAGGTGAAGGGGAAAACGCTGCTGCCTCTTCCAATAGGCTCAGAAAAAATGGAGTTTGTGGATTCCAAAAGTGAGACAGTGTAAGTACCGCCAGCCTAGCCATATGGGCCTCTAAGATATGGGAGATGCTAGTTTGTTGGAATATTTTCCTTATTACTTTTTTTGTTCCTGACTCTGCACATCTCCTCACGCTGCACACGAGCCACTGTCCGCTCTGTTTGCCAACATCCTCAGATTGTGTGTTTGCGCTGATTACTTCCCTTGCCCCAGTCCCTCTGCCCGAAGTCTCTCAAGGCTATTACAGCCACATAGCCTTTTTTCTGTTCAGAATCATTTCAAGTCTGAGACCAGTCACATTGGATTTCAGTATTTTGCTTATCGGGATAGTGTCTCATCATTGGCAAAGACCCAGGTCCAGTCTGGGAGGCAGCCACAACTCTCCCCAGCATTTACTCAGTACATAATGTCACAAAACTAACTCTGGTGACTCTTGTTACAGTTCCAGGCTCCTTCCCTAGCAGCTGATGACTTGTTTCAAGTCCCAGGGACTTGTTTTTTCTTTTTCAAATAAAAACAAATCTGACTTTGTTGGGTGGGAATTTAAGTCCATGCATCCTATCCCTGAGTGGGCATTACGATTCCATCCTCCTCTACTTCTAGAAGTTATATTCATGATCAGCTTCCACTTAACATGCTGGCTTTGAGTTGTCTATGTTTCCTTTGTTTGGGGATTTTTTTTTTCCTTTCAAGACAGGCTATGTATATAAATAATATATTTTGTTATATTTTAGCCAGCCTCTCTCTCTCTCTCTCTCTCTCTCTCTCTCTCTCTCTCTCTCTCTCTCTCTCTTTCTCTCTGATGGAGTCTTGCTCTGTCACCCAGGCTGGAGTGCAGTGGCATCATCATAGCTCACTGCAGCCTCCAATTACTGGGCTCAAGTGATGCTCAATGTCTGCTTCCCGATTACCTGGGATTACAAGTGGCAACAAGTGGCAATCTTACATGAGCTCAGTTTGCCACATTGTCAGGAGTTTTCCAGTGTATTAGTGTCAGTGTGGTATACTTAGCATCCATGATTTGATCTGAAGAATTAGTAATGCATGTAACAGCAAGGTACTTTATAATGAGTTTTTTTTTTATTGGAAGCAATTTGCTACATATATAACTTGATGTAATTTCCCAGCTAACTGAAAAGCTTATTGTTTAATAAAAATATCCAATTTTCAAAATACATAAATTTACTCTTTTTCTAGTCCCTTTACATTTTAACTTAATAACATTCAGTGTGTGTATATAATCATTGCTGAATTTGTCTTCCTTTGTTCAAATTTGTTAATTTCCCAAAAGACTGAATCATTTTAGGGAGGTAAGCATCTTCTTCCTTTAACACCTTCACAATCACTTGTGCCATATCATTTCTCAGCAAATATGATTTTAATTAAATTAAGTGAAGGTGGGTTTCTGACATGAAAATGTAAATGATATGCCCTCTTTGTCACTATGTCTTTGGTTCTTGCCATGTACAGTTTTGTTAAGACTTTATGAAAAAAACAACCAAATTATTATTTTTGTAGTTTTTATCCTTTTTCAAACATAGCTAAGTTTTTTTTAAGGTATATGGGGGAAAATTTGGGAATTCCAGTCTTCACTGGAAAAGTGAAGACAAATGAAATCATGATGGTGGTATTCAGGTGGCTGAGTATTTGCCTTGTGGAGAAGGAAATAACCTACTTCCTTTTCTGCTGAGGTCATAACTAAGACTAAAGTGAGGACATTACAAGGAGGTAATGCAGGTCAGGAGAGAGATAAGCTTTCTCACTGGCAGAGGCAACCTATAGATGTACTGCTTTGTCAGTTAGGGAGCTTGCTGTCACTGGTGGGATTCAGGCAAGGATTGGTGATCATCTGAATGTCCCTGCACTGACAGGACAACTTATTGACATTCAATGTTCTTAAACTAGTCTTCAGAATATTGGTGAATCCTAAATCTGTATGAATAATGTTTTATGTACACACATATTATTTTTTTCTGGGGAGAGAATATATACCTTTATTTGACTACTCAATGAGGCTATTATTAAAAAAGTTAAGAATACATGTTCAAGCCAGGCTCAGTGGCTCAGCCTGTAATCCCGTGCCTTGGGAGGCTGAGGTGAGTGGATTGCCTGAGCCCGCAGGTTCGAGACCCACCTGGGCAACTTGGTGAGACCTCATCTCTACAATAAATAAAAAAACTAGCCAGGTGTGGTAGAGCATGCCTGTAGTTCAGCTACTTGGAAGGTTGAGGCAGAAGGATCACCGGAGCCCAGCAGGTCGAGGCTGCGGTAGCCGGGAGCGTGCCACTGCACTCCAGTCTGGGCAACAGAGTGAGACTCCAACTCAAAAAAAAAAAAAAAGAATACATGTTCTAGATGGAATTTCCCACCTATTTTAAAAATATTTGGGGCTCTATTTAGGGGAATGCCCAGGGTTATGTTATCTCCACGTGTCTCAGGAGATTTCTTTTCTCTTGCATAGCTTGGATTCCATAGACAAGTCAGTCATCTACTCCATTGAGTCTGCAGTGATCAAATGGAGCCACCAAGTTCAGGTGGTGCTCAGGAGAGAGTCTTCTCAGTCACTCTTACAAGGGGATAATCCCACCCCTAAGGTGGAGTTGGAGTTCTGGAAGAGCAGGTAGGCAAAAAGGCACATGCTTAAATCCTGGGGAGGAGAAGTCTTGCAGGGAATGAAGCCAGAGTTGGTCTAGAGGAACCAACCATTGGGTCTGGTTCTTTTCTCTGGGTGTTTCTCATCATTCATAGGGTATACAGCACTGTGTAAATGGGTCAACATAGTTTGTCTATAGACTATGAGATGTACATTTTCCTTAAGGTTCAATAGTCATCCTTCTTTTCTTGGGCTACCATTAGTATGTTTTCTGACATTTCTTTAATGGCTATTTTAACTACATGTAAAATTAATCAACTTCCTTTAATATGTTTCTTTTAAGCTGTCTACTCTCTTCCTGTACAGTCGAGGCCAGATGCACATACTATTTATAAGCATCTGAAAAAAGAGAGGTGGTTTTGGAAGTTGGCTGCAGAATGGCCTCTCCTAGGTCCCAGGTCATCATTAGCGGGGTTGGAAATTTCATCATGCAGTATGCTTGCTCACAAAGGCCCCACCACCACCACCCCGCCCACCACTTCCTAGCTCTGATTTATCACTGTGCTGATAAATCTTTTACTCTGAAGGAAACACAGATGTTGGAGGCAGATGTCCCTGCCCTTGCACTGAATGGAGATTATTGGTGTCATGTGATGGGGCATGTATGTAGTGTTCCAGCCCAGTCTGCACTACCATGCTGAGACACTCCATCCTCTTTCTTGGTTTCTGACCATTCCACTGATCTATCACAGGGTCATTCTCTTAGCACCCTTGGTCCGACACTGCCTCTCTCACCCTACCCCAACCTTATTGCAAGAGCTAATGACCTCCAACTGCCAAGCTTTTGGGCAACCAGATGGTCACAGCAGTGTTTCCTGGAGCTGCCCCTTTGAACCTGTGTTCCCTTTGAACCTGAGTCAGGCTTTTGCCCTCACTGTGCTGGAAACAGATGTCCTGGCTCTTCTGAGGCAGGACTTCTCTCTTTCTGTGTGAGAGTGGGTGAGCACAGTGTGACTTGTATCTCCTGATGCTCCCCCGGATTCACCCTTCTCTGTGATATTGCAGGTATGAGGATCTGGAATACATTTATAATCAACTGAGGACAATAAAGGTGAAAGCTATGGCTGTGCTCCTGGACAAGCTTCAGAGCAGCTACTTTCCCGCTTTCAAAGCCATGTTCAGAAACGTTGTAGCAGGTGAGGACCAGCAAGTGTTGTTCACTGACTCACATTTCTTATTGAGCGATGCATTTACTTCTCTCTGTCTGTTTCAGCTGCTTCAAGTCCTTATAACCTCCCAACCTGACACAATACAGAATGGTGGCAAGAGTACCAAATCTAGAAGCAGGAGAGCAACTAAATAGAACTGCACTGTCTGCAGTTCCACAACTGTATGACCTTGGGCAAATTCACTTAACCTCTCTGAGCTTTAGTATGTACCACAGTTATGGTGCACACATTCACCCTAATTTTCTGGGCTCTTATGAGATAATAATCGTGGAAAAACTTTACTGACTGCACTTCACTATACAAATGCATGTTGTTATCTCTCACCTCTGGGATTCAGGTCCCTCCACTTCTGGCTCCATGAGTAATCTCTATTTCATTTCTAGCTCCATTCTGATTTTTCTGTTCCTACTGTTAGATGGGACTGCAATTTCTTGGCCATCTAAGCACCAGACAAGATCAGCTCTTATCAAAATTGCAAAGCCAGCAAAGTCTATGTTAGAAGTAGGTAAATTTTTTTTCAGGGCTCCTTCTCCCCTCTTTGGTGCACTGTGCTTCTTCTCCCTTTTTCCTATCAAACCTCCTCCTTGCTCTTCATTACTGTAGGTCAAAATGTGCTTTTAAAGGTATTTACAATTTCATACAGCGTAAGCTTAATCTAATCAGTAAGCCATTAGATTCATTGAAGTAATTCTGTTTATCCATAGTTTCTTTTCTTTTCTTTTTTTGCTAAGTTGTTGGTTCAAATTTTATGGCACTTGGATGTTATTTCTGATCTGATAGTGAAGCTGGCAATGGACTTTGAATTTTTTTTAAAACTCTGAACATTTTTCATGTCTGTTAAGTGAAGTACATATACTTTTTAATTAAAATTTGTTGATTTGTTTGTTTTTACAATCTTTTCAATTTTACTTTATTTATTTTTAAGATTTTTTTAGGTTAGAAAATATAGTTTATTTAGAAAGTAAATTAGAGAGAGGGAGAAAGGTGATTCACCTTCCCAAGGTAGGGGAGGGGGCCAAAGCTTAAGAAAACATGGCTTGGTCATAGCTCAAAGAGCACATGGCCACACCATAGCTTAGCAAGGCAATGGCAGTGATGGTCTCACAATAACCTTCAATTTTATTATAAAAATACACACTCAGCAAAGATTGTCATGAAGTCACTTCTCGACTCTGCTCACATTCAGCTCTTGCTGTTGAGCAGCTTTCTTTGCTTTTATTACCTTGATGAGTTCTTTATACTATTTCACACATCTTTTTGTGTGTGGTCTACCAGACACTAAGCAGTGATTTTCAAACATTTTTCCCCTCCCAGAACTCTTTCTTTAAATGCAATCTCCCATGTAAATCTACAATGTAAAACTAATCAATGCATATTTGCTCTGTGAAAGAGGGCAACATCTGTGTCCAGAGCCTATTGGCTGATCCTGCATCACACCTTCCCTCCTTATGTCATGGAGTTTGCAAACCACTTAGCTAAAGGAATACAAGTTCCGGTGTTCAAACTTCTGACACCAGCTATATAATAGAGGAGAACTGACATAAGTTGTTAGTCTTTGAGGTCTTTCTGGGCCCTAAAAATTTCATCACAGACACTGCTCTGAAAGCACATAAAGCTGACTTGCAACAAGATGTCTCTTGAGGCCCCAGTTTACTGCTTCACTGAAAGATTTTCTGTGTCCCAGTGGAATCAACCTTTGTTCCCAATTTACACTTCAATTCAAATGAATAGGCATCCCCAAAAGTGGTATGTGTATCCCCATTGGTGTGAGAAATAACCAGGGAAATGTATAGACAGATTTTTTTTTTTAAAACGGGTTCAAGGGTAAAGATCCTGTTTTGAGCAAGTGATAGCAGTTTCTCATTTATAGTAGTGATTTAAAGTTTTCATTTTGTATAATTTAGTTATTAATAGGCTAAAATAGGAGTCAACTTAGAGAAAAAGATTAATTAAGCAATACAGTAGTAAATTGTACACATATAAAGGAGGTATGCAAAATACTTGAAACTGGAGGCTATGAAATATCACATGTAGTAAAAATATGAGTTGGTTATTTAGTGCTCAAATATACTTTTCACATTAATAGGTTAAGACTCTAATCATTCGCATGGGTTAATAGTTATAAAAGATTCATTTCCCTAGGCCAGCTTGAAAAAGCTCTTTGAAATGAAATAAGAAAAAAATGCTATCATTATAATAGTACCAGATAAACACTACTATTAAAGTAGTAATTCTTTAAATATGAAACTCAATTCTGGTGATGGAAGAAAACAAAATGTGATTAGAGGTGTTAAGTAGACTTGGTCAGAAAATTTGGCAGGATCTTTGAAGCTGGTGAATGATTTTCTCATTTCTAATTTAATTTCAGAGCATTTGGCTTTCTTTGTCCTAAATAGATGTATTATGTGCATTATTCTTATTAGTTGTGGCCAGGATAGTTCATTGGCTTGCTGATGAACTGAAGTGAGGGATAGGGAAAGAAATATTTCTGGATTAGTGGGCATGAATGGGAAAACAGTGAGAAATAAAAAAGGAAATTAAAAGGATGGAGGAAAATATGTGGGAACAAGATTGTATGAAGTGGAATGGACTGGACAATAAATTACCTTGGAAAACAGCAACAGTCTCCTTGAGGACAAAGAACAAGGGCAATAAGGACTAATTAGAGAATTCTCTTTTCTCAGACAGGATTGGTGTAGTACAACTTGGTTGCCAATTATCCCAGTCCATTTGTGCTGCTATAATAGAATACCATAGACTGAGTAATGTATAAGAACAGAAATTTATGTCTCATTGTTCTGGGAGCTGGGGAGTCCAAGATCAAAGTGCCAGAAGGTTCAATTGCCTGGCGGGGGCTACTCTCTGCCTCCATGATGATGCCTTGTTGCTAGATACTCTGAAGAGGAGGAAGGCGGACGGGCAAGGGACAGAACTCTGTGTGGTGCCTCTTTTGTAAGAGCCTTAATCACATCATTCACAAGGGAGGAATCCTCATGGCCTAATCACCTTTTAATACCATTACATTGACCATTGAGTTTCCATACCTGAATTTTGTAGGGACCATATTCAAACCATGGCACCACTCAAGGAACTGTGTGAGTCGGTGTATGGAAAAGAAGGCAAAGTTTGAGCTGTGCTGTAGCCAACATGCACTGGTTTGCTGTGGCTTGTGAGAGGCCGCTTCTTTTTCTTTTTTGTGTGTGTATATATTTCTTTCTTTTTTTGTTTTTGTTTTTGTTTTTTTGAGCCTGGGTCTCACTCTGTTGCTATTCTGGAGTCTAGTGGCACAATCACAACTCACCACAGCTTCAACCTCCCGGGCTCAGGTGTTCCTCTCACTTCAGCTTCCCAAATAGCTGGGACTACAGGTGTGCATAAACATGCCCGGCTAAATTTTTTTTTTGTAGAGATGAGGTCTTGCTGTGTTGTCCAGCTTTGAACTCCTGGACTCAGCAATTCTCCAACCTTAGCCTCCCAAAGTGCTGAAATTACAGGCATTAACCATGGGCACAGCCCCCAAATTGTCACTTTTAAAAGCCCTCTCTGATCATTGTGATACTCAGAAATTTGTAAATTAGTACTTGGTCTTTTAAAAAAAAAATTGTAGAGATGGAGTCTCACTATATTGCCCAGGCTAGTCTCAAACTCCTGGGCTCAAGCAGTCCTCCCAGATTGGCCTCCCAAAGTGCTAAGATTATAGTTTTGAGCTACTTCCTCCCCGGCCTGCATTTCTTTTTAACCCTCCCATTCCCTTCACCCATGCATCTCTCAATAAAACTAGATCAGTAGCTTAAAATAAGACATGGTGGGAATATTTACACCGTAGAAATTGGCAAATGCTACGTACAAAGGCATTTGTCCCCCCAAAGAGCCTATTGATAAATATTTGCCAACAGATCACTGGACATCACTTTGTCACCACTGTTTATATTTACATTTTTAAAAAAGATATGAAGTCAACTCTGTCCATCTCTCTTTCTTCATTTGTCTTTTCAGTCAAGGCTATTGCATCCTGGACTGATGATCAACCCTGTTTTCTCAAATATTGTGCTCTTAAAAATCAAGGCAGTGACTATTAGAATAATTTTAAAAGATTCTGCTTTTTTAAAAAAGACTTCCAAACAAGGAGTCATTAAGATAAAGCTTCTCTGGCATAATGGTCGCAGCCTCTTTTCCCTCACAGCACATATGAAAGCCAGAGCATATGCTCATTAGAATGGCTGCAGAATTCTGAAATCACCCATCCCAACACAATGATTCAAATACACACCTTCAGCACCACCACTGAAGAGTCACTGCTCTAATCAATGTACTGTGACATTTAACTTTGTAAAAATTCAATTTACATATTGCTTCCCACAATCTCACTTGGGATATCAAGTATAAACGTGCATATCAACATACTCTTGTGTAAGGGGTGTCTCACAACCACCAAGCCAGGGGTTCAACATAGTAGACTTGGGGTCATTTTCCTTTTGCTAGGCTGTACAGGGATGGTCAATTCATGGGATGACCCTAGGCAGCTTATAAAGTGGGAGTACTAAAGCTACCTTGCAGGGCTTTACAGAGATAGTGCATGTCAAATGAGTCGAACTGCTCCTATAGTACTGAATCTGATTGCTAAATAGTATGTATTTTGAGTTTCCTTTAGCATGATCCACATAACGCTTACCTAAGAACATCTGCTGTCCTATGATATCTCTGATGATCTTCCAGAACAGAACCAGTCATTATAAACCCTTCCTTCCAGTTTGTCCAAAGGGCTTTTGCATTCCCTCCAAGTTGCTATGCTGATATCAGCATCCAGTGCTGCTGGGTTTCCTACCTTCCCTCTCAGTTTCCCTATGATGACTGGTTAAAGGTCCTTCTTGTTTTTTGACTGTGTTCACAGGAGATAGTAGGAGATTTTCCTGGCTTTGAAAACCAGCAGAACCTTACTCTAATCAGTCTGTGCTATTTCTCTATGTCCTGTGACTTCTTCTTTACAAGAGTTCAGCGAGACTTTTTATTCATGAAAGAATACTCATCAGATACACTATCCTTTTTCAAGTGCTTGCTTTGATTCAGGCACTGTGGTAGTTGTTTATGAGGTTTCCATTTGTATTGCTTTCAGTCTTTACAAGAACCTTTTAAATTAGCTACCTTAAATAGTTAGCATATTTTTGAGGCTCAGAGAGCTTAAATGTGCCCAAGGTCATAGAATTTTAAGTGTCTGGGTCAGCATTTGAAGGCAGGTCCTTCTGATTCTAAAACGTGTCCTCTGCCATCTATTTTGTATTGTCTTGGAGACATCAGTAGCAAAGTAATTAGCAAATATTTACTGCATGGTATATCTACTACACACCCAGCACCAGACTGTGGCTCAAAGCATCAGGGAGAAGTTCACACAGAGAAATGATGTAAGGAAGAACTCCTCAGACCATTATCCCAGTTATCCTGGGCTCTCCAGATTGCCATATTTCCTCTTAAGAGGTAGAAAGTTTCTGGAAGCAGCCTTCTTTCTGCTTTCTCCATTTAGGAAGAAATTACCTTCATTGCTTTGCAGAACCTTCACTTCTCAGGGACTAGGGCTCCAACAGTTAGGTATGAGGCTCAAGCAGGAAATAGTGACTGTTTCCAATTCCTTCTAGCTCTGGCCGAGGCGCGGGACATCCATGTGCACCTGGTACCACTCCACCGCCACCTGGAAACCCTCGAAAATGCAGAGTTTCCAGAGGTGAAGTCCCAGCTGCACCCCCTGCTCCACGTGGTCTGCCTGATTTGGGCCACATGCAAGTGCTACCGCTTCCCAGGGAGGCTGACTGTGCTGCTCCAGGAGATTTGCAACCTTCTCATCCAGCAGGTGGGCCACCCTACAACTCCCAGCAACCTCTCCCTGGGGGCTGGTTGGCACCAAGTCACAGGAAAGAATTGAGTGTGCATTTTTTCCAGCAGGGAAATAATTACAGTCCAAAGAGTTCTCACACTTGAATAAAGGTATTTTACTCTCACAAGTCAATACTTCACAAAGACATTTTCAGTAATATTAGAACACCTGGAAGACGCAGTCTTTCTTTCCCCTTAGTCTAAGAGTGGAAGAGTAGTACCAATATTCTTGGTAGAGGAGTTGGTAAGTCAGTAGTAAAGCCCAGCAATTAAGAATGAAGCAATTAAGAATGAAGCCTCAGACCAGGCACAGTTGCTCACACCTGTAATCCCAGTACTTTGGGAGACCAAGGCCTGAGGATCATTTAAGGCCAGGAGTTCAAGAACAGCCTGGGCAACATAGTGAGACATCATCTCTTCAAAAAATCAAAAAATTAGCCAGGGAGGTGGCACGCACCTGTAGTTCCAGCTATTCAGGGGGCTGAGGTGGAAGGATCACCTGAGTCCTGGAGGTCAAGGCTACAGTAAGCTATAGTCATGACACTGCACTCCAGCCTGGGTGACAGAGTGAGACTCTGAATAAGAAAATAATAACAATAATGCAGCCTCAGACATCAGGCGATCCTGTACCAACTCCAACTTCTCTACTTATCAGCTGTGTGCCAGGATAAGTCACTTACCTGTCCTGTCCCTCACTCTTTACCTGTATATAACAGTGAAAAGAAGACCTATCTCTGTTTGGGTTGCTGGGTGATTGTGAGGCTTCCATGTACAATGCATGGCCCTGCACATGTTGAGAACTTGGTACCCACAAGCTGTTGAGAAGCAGTTTCTTAGATTACGTACTTCGTGCTCCTTTTCCTTAGGGACACTTATAGCACCAAACAAGGCAGTGTAAACCTTGAGGAGTGTATCTGTAAACAGAACTAGAGTCCTTAAAAAAGTTTTGGTGCTCTTACCCCCAAACTGACTTATTTTGCCACTTTGGAGCTGTGACCCTGAGAAAACAATGAACAAGCTTAGAAAGTAGCTAATAGTAACTGACATCTATGGAGCTCATGGCAGGATGCAAAACGTTGTTACATTCATAATCTTGGTCATTATCAGATAAACTCTGAGAGGTGGGCAGAGAAGGTCTCCTTATTTATTAGTATTATCTAAAAATGTGAGCTAAGTCTCAGGGAGATTAACTGACTTGCCCAAGGACATCCAAACCAAGACATGAACCCAGGTGGATTGACTACTAGGCCAGTGCTTTTACCATCATTCCATATTTACCAGCCAGAACTATTTGGCTGAAAGTGTAAGAAAACCCAACCAAAAGTAGTATCAGCAAAAAGAAAACATATTGGCTCATATACCTTGAAAGTCCAAGGTGGCCGGACTCAGTGGCTCAGCCTGTAATCCCAGCACTTTGGGCGGCCTAGGTGAGTGGATTGCCTGAGCCCACAGGTTTGAGACCAGCTCAGGCAAATTGGCGAGACCTTGTCTCCACAATAAATCAAAAATTAGCCAGGTGTGGTAACGCACAACTGTAGTTCCAGCTATTTGGAAGACTGAGGCCAAAGGATCACTGACACTCAGCAGGTCGACACTGGGGTGGCCGTGAGTGTGCCACTGCACTCCAGCCTGGGTGATAGAGTAAGACTCCAACCCAAAAAAGAGAAAGAAAGAAAATCCAAGGTAAGGCTGACTTCAGCCCTGACTTGCAATATGGCCTTAGATGACGTCAAGGGCCCACTTATCTCTGCTTCTCCCTGTGGTGGTAAAGGTAGCCATTTTACAGCTTCAGCTTCCCAGTTTTCCAGGTGCAATTATCTTAAAGAAAGGAACATAATTATCATAAAGAGAATTCTTACACTCGAATTATTTTACTATCAAAAGCCAATAAGTCACAAAAGAACACCTGGAAATGAACATCTGCTGCAGCCCCAGCTGGCCCAGCAAAAGTCTTATTGTGTTTTCTCCTCTCTTATTGGTCACCTGCTCATTCCTGAGCCATGACTTGGGCTACAAAGATGATTTAGCTCAACCCCAGGTCCCAATCCACCTGTGGAACAGAGAGTCAGCTATTTTCTCTATTATCCTTGTGAAAAAATATTTCTTGGGCAATGATTCACTTCAGAGGTGGTGTTGGCAAAGTTATGAGATGGCTTGCATCTGCAGGCAAACTCAGTGACACTAATCTGTTTGCATACCAGGCCTCTAATTATCTCAGTCCAGAAGACCTCCTGAGAAGTGATGTAGAAGAAAGTCAGAGGAAACTACAAGTGGTCTCGGACACCTTGAGCTTCTTCAAGCAGGTGTTTCAGGACAGAAGGGAGAATCTTCACACTTACTTCAAAGAGAATCAGGAAATCAAGGAGTGGGATTTCCAATCTTCTTTGGTCTTTGTACGATTGGATGGCTTCCTAGGACAACTGCATGTGGTAGAGGTAAGTGTGCTTGTCAGCGCAGGCTCCCAGCCCCAAACAGGAGCAAGTAGTCCAGGGATTCAAAGAGTGGATTAGGAAAATGCACAACACAACCTGATAGCCAACCCTCCATTGGTTGGAATAACTCATAATGTGGGTTCAGTAAGTAGTTGTCATTTGGATTGATAATTATTTTAATGGTGATTAGAGTAGAAGTTTAGGAAATTCTGATAATAGGCCCATTTAGAAAGAAGGCCCAAGGAATCAGTCAACTAATTCAGTTGGTTTGAAAATTGAGAAGATACAAGACTTTTTCTTTTGATTATTTTAATCCTCAGAATTTAATATGGTTAACAGGTCTTTTAACATTTTGCAGCTATGAATTTGCTGATTAATCTTTGAGGGAAGGGTAATGAACATAATAAAATAAAATGCATACTTAAACAGATTTGAAAAGTTGAGGGTTAAGTTCAATATTAGGACAAGGACCAAGAAGTCAGAGAAGGAATGAGAATCGTGTCCCCAACCATTATTAGTAGAGCTTTGGGGAAAGAAAGCTGTGCTGGAAAGAAGCTACTATGAACAAAACAAACCAAGGAATGACAAGGATAAGGGAATATGAGATTGACTCTGTTTATTTCAGTTAAAAAAATGTTGATCCAGCATAAACTGCATGCCAGGCTCTGAGCTAGGTACTGAGATGACTGTAATATGATTCTGTCTGTAAGAAGCTTGTGGACCTATACCCATCTCATAGGAGATGATAGAGTGCCAGAGGAGATCTGGAGACAGGGAAAGACACAGAATCAGGACACTGTAGTGAAGTATACTGAATGTCATAATAAAAGTGAAATGGGTGTGTTACTGGGCGCAAGAAAGAGTGGCCCCTAACTGAGCGGGGCTTTGGCCAAAAGTGGGGATCACAAGAGGTGATCAGTTTTGAAATTGGAATAGGAATTTGCCAGGGAAAAAGAAGAGATGGGGAAGGGTACAAGATGGAAAAAATGTATGACAGAGAAAGCCAGAAGCTTGATCTTACGAAAGGTACACCTTAAATCCTTCGTTGGAATCACCAATGGTGTAAATAATTGATTATGTAGCTTTATCCTAAATGCCTCTTTCTCCCTCACAGTTCTTCATCACAGTTCTTGATGCACACACCACCTGCCTCATCCCCCTGTGCTCTTTCTTCCTCTCATCTCCAGCATCAACTGTTGCTGTTGTTTAGCTGAAGGTGAGGGAAGTGAGGGACACTCAGTCTCCAACCTGCTCCTGACCTGGGATGGCCACAGAGAAAGAATTGCCATCACAGCTTTGTAGTGGTCACACTTGTGAGTGCTCCAGCCCTGGAGATAGCAGCAGAGCAGGGCTTCAAAATGACTGTCTGGGCAGGATACACAGGCATTGTCAACACATGCTAATGATGTGACTTTGCATATAGACAGCTATTCTAACATTAGGACACCTAATCTGCAGGATCTATTCAGTAAATATAAGCAGCAATGGACACCAGCCTCCCTGGAGTCATTACCCTGGCAATAAGTCCTCTCGAGGGCTGCTGCTTCTTTCTGAAGCAAGGGCACAGATGCATGAAACGCAGTTGCCCCATTTAATTAAAGGATGACTTGAATGTCACCAGGCTCCCTGTCTTGCCACTTCTCCCTCTCTTAAGTGTTCTGTCCTTTGTTGCTTTTTTGCACCTGTACCCAGCTCCTCCATCTATTTTGTTGACTGTTTCCCTTTCCTCCATTTTGCCTAATTCTTCCTCCTCTTTCTACTTGTTTCTGTCCCTCTTCTCTCTCTCTCTCTCTTTCTCTCTCTCTCATTTTCTCTTTCCATGTCTGTTCTTCTTCCCACAGCTGCTTCTTGCCCTCTTTTCTTGTATTTCTTCTCCCATTTTATTTTCATCTCCCAAACGTCTGCTCAGAAACAGCCCTCCCTACCCTTTGCCGTCTTCCTCCTCCCCATCTCTTCCCTCCTCAGCTATGTGCAGTGGGACCCAGGACTATCAATTGTCCTCTGGCATATTTCATGTAGCCCTTTAGTTAATATTCTGTGTACCTCTGTGATCGATGCTCGTTTGAATTGGGATTAATCTTCTCTCCGGCAAGAATTAGCATGAACTTAACCTTATTCATCTTTTGTTCTAATATAGTCCATGGCTACCAAAATGATAGTAGCTGCCATTAATAAATACATGAAACCAGGTTAACAAAATAACATCAATGCTCTTACCTCTCTGCATGCTCATGTCAAGGGTTATGGTGTGAAGGGCTAGATTTTAATCTCCATAATTCTCCCAGATTTCATTCCTTTGATACATGCTGCTTTCTTACTCTTTTGCACAAGAGAATTTTGTCATACAGGTTCACTCTTCCCTTCTGAGTGCCTGCTAAAAGAGGGATGGAGTTTGGAAGGAGGGGTATTTTTTTTGTAGTTTTCAGCAGCCACAGTAAGCAGAGTAATTGCATTCCTAGGATGCCACCAACATCCTCCTCCTTCTCATCACAAGCATGATAAAGCTAACCTCTTAGAGAGCTAAACCTTATGGAGGGAAAGGAAGAGAAATAGAAAAATAAAGAACTAACATGTCTCAAGAACCTACCTCAGGTCAGAACCTGTATCCTTGCAATCATTTTAAGAGTTAGATATAAATACCTTTAATTTAACTCATGAGCACAATTAAATCTGATGCTTAAGTTAACACACACAGCTTGGTGGGTTTAACTGGGATTTATACCCAAGAGCATATTACTCCAAGTATTTTCACCAAACTTTAATATCTTCTAGGAAGTAAAGGTCTGTTTCACTCCCTCCTTCCCCATCTTTTTCTCCCTCCCTTCCTTCCTTCTTTCCTTCCTCTGTCCCATTTTGAGTGTCCCAAACTGATTTTGTGGTTTTATTCCACCCTTATACACTCTATTCTACCTTTGTACACTCTATTTTTTATCATATAATTTCTAGGTCTTTTTATCTAAATAAGTCATTCGATAAAATTTTAATTTCTATTTAATGAAAGAACCTTATATCACTTTATGACTTACTAAGGACAACCCAAAACTATATAAAATTTTTGCAGTGTGAATGAACAGTCAAAAAGCAAAGAGAATAAGAGTGGTTCGGTTGTCTCTTGATTCTTCTCCTGTTCTGCCTGAGCTCCCTGCTGTGCGCACACACACATACACACACACACTCCATATACCATAGTTCATTTTTGTGCCATAATATTGTAGATTCTGCAGATCCCCCGTTTGTTTCTGCCTGCGGCCTCTTCCCTCCAAACAATGCAGTAAGCACCTTGGAGAGAACCTTCATTTCTTTCATTATAAAACTGCTGCAAAGCTGTGATTCACTTGGAGACAAAATGATTTCCTGCTGAGGTTTTATGCGAGGTGATTAGCAGGTGGATAGGTAATAAGCTGACCTAATATACCCCGCATTTCCTTTTGCTCTTTCTACCATCTCCAGCCACTCCACAGCCTCCTTTCATTTTGAGCCTAATTGGGCGACTTCCCTTTTAGCCCGGCTTGAACATGTGGTCACGTAGGAGACCATTAGCTGCATAAGGTCGGTAGCAGTCGAAAGGTAAAGAAAATAGTCTTTTTCCAAGTGACCTTTTGAGATTTTCATCTATGAATGTCCGCTTTGTGCTCTCCCTTAATGAATTCCGAAGGCATTTCTTTTAAGGTGGGCGGCGAGTCCTCTCCTTCAAGAATGGGGCTGCTGTTAGTGGGTCTTGCCATTACACCTGATTTTGATTCTTCATCTCATAGGCCAGAGCACAGATTGAGCCTTCCTCCACCCCCTTTCCTGCCACCACCATTCAATGTTGCTTATTTTTTCATAAGAATGGGACCCAATCAGTCTGGCAAGTTGCTTGTGACTCCAGTACTCATTGTGATATGTCTCAAAAGGAGCACCTGAATGTTCCCTTTATAAGCCATTATACAGCTAATATTTATCAACTTGATCTAATGACATCAGGATGATTATAATCAATTATAGCAGCTGCCATTTATTGAAGTTCTACAAAGGCAGTTTCCATGTGACTTGGTAACCCACGGCAAGTTAAGTGTAACTGTCCCCATCTACAGGCTAAGAAAGTGAGGCTTAGAAAAGTTCGGCCAGCCAGGCATGGTGACTTACGCCTTTAATCTCAGCACTTTGGGAGGCTGAGGCAGAAGAATCACATAAGGCCAGGAGTTTGAGGTTGCAGTGAGTTAGGATGGTGTCACTGCACTCCAGTCTAGGTGACAAAGTGAGATCCTGTCTCTATAAAAAAGAGAAAAGTTTGGTGTCTTGTTTTAAGCCAAATAGCTAATAAATGACAGAACCAGGCTTCTGTGAACTCAGGTTTTTTTGGCCCTACATCCTAAGCTCTTTGCACAATGTCATAAGTCCTATCCCTGAAGTTAATGATTTTCATCCTGTATATAGCATAATGAATTCTGTGTGTTTACTACTGAGATAAATGAAATAGATATTTTTAAAATATCATTTAAACCTCTTATTGTTTTAAACTGCCTTTTATCAGTTTTGTGAGGACTTTTAAAAATAATTAAAAGAGCTTACATTTAAATAACTTAAGAATCAAATATATAGCCATGGTCAGTACAATAAATCTGTGTCTACGGTTGTAAGACCACTTCCCACCTACTTCAGAAATTTTTTTCTACAACACTTCTGACATCAGACTTACATTAAAACCCATTCAGTGATGGAGACCTCACTCCCTCTCTCTGCAGTCCATTCTGTGGTTGCCTGCAATAGATGCAGGCAATAGATAGTCTTGTTTTATTAAGTGAAACCACAGAAAATTGCCTCTTTTTTTTTTTTTTTTTGGTCAAAATGATCACCTATAAACAGTTTTATGAGTTCAACCTCTATGGTGAGGCCACATCTGCTTCTTTGCCACATTCATTTCTTTGCCTTATTTCTGCCATCAAAGAAGGGCCATGGAAGGTTTCACCTTACACTTTAAACACTGGAATGTCTTGCTTTATAATTCTCGTCTGGTCTAATTTTCATTTTTTTCATCAACTGTGCTTTAAAGGTCATGGTTCCTGGGTCCTCTATCACCCTGTTTCCTTTTTCTGGATGTATTATAGCTAATTCAAAGAACAATGGGCATTATTCCATCAACAAATGTTTGCTTAGGATCAGGGACTCTTCCAGGCACTGGAAATACCTGATTACCTCTGAGACATTTACAACCTACTGTACAGAAAATAAGCAAATAATTTAATATCATATAATGCTAAATTATATATTACAATGCCAGAGTGTGGTAAAAGCTATGTTAATGCAAAGGAAGGGGATAGAGTTCGGGGGAGAAATGGGTAGAGGAAGCCCTTTTGATAGAAGGGTAAGGAAAGGCCTAAAACCCTGAATTGAGCCCCAAATAAATGCATTATTCACTATGCATATGTTAAGTTAGAGAAAACAATGTCAATATTCATTGTTCTCATGACAAAACTTTCCCAAAATTAGAATAAATAAATATTTCTCCTATTCCCTGGATAGATTGAAGATGAAGCAACTTCAGTGACCCCAGCACCTCAAGCCATGCTTCAAGTATTCTTGAGAAATAAAACCATGTAACGAAATCATCATCTAGTTTTCTGATGTAACCAAACATATCAAAATTCATCTGTCCTTTAAAATGCTTAGGTAGTATTTCCTAAAAATTGAAATTGACATCCACGGAATGATGAAGAATGGGTGCCAAGAATACATTTCACAGCACAAGTATGTCTCTCCCTATAAAACTGATGACAAGTAAGCATCTTATGAGAGATTTGAATTACTCTTGAAGTCAATTTCATTTAAATAAAATTCATTTCCGTATATTCTTCTCAGTATATAAAGCTGAACATATTTTTAAAGAAAGACTGCCTCGTTTCCCGCCAATGGTGGCAGGAGCCGCTTGCTGGTTTTGGTGTATGTCTTCCTTCCCTGGGCTGGAATCTTTCCTTTTCTCCCCTCTTCCCTTTTGCTACTTGCTGCCAGTCATACCCACACATAGCTGAGCAGTTGTTAGATGGCTGCCCAAGGCTGCAAGAGTACCCTCCTGGGAAAGCAGGGAAAGTTGGCCTCTTTCCCTCTCTTCCTCTGTCACTGCTGCTGGACTTGGCACCCCAGTGAGAGAAAGCAGCTGAGCAGCCTGTGCTAGGCTGATGGGTCAACCGTGACAGTGGCCATGGGCAGTGGGGATTTCCTGCAGTGGAACCAGGACCTGCTGCTGGATTTTATAGCATCCGTGTTATAGTGCACCCTTTAAACCGCCAGAGGAGAGTAACTCCTCCCAGAAGTCCACACCAAATGTCAGCCAAAATGATACAAAGGTAACTACCTTCTCCTTACCTGTCGAAGGGACGTGTATGTGGATTAGAAGTTACAACAGGAAGCACATTTTTGTTTGGAGGTTTTGTGGTTTTAGGCAGGTTTTCATGAGAGATAAATTTAGTCCATCCTGTAAGATGTGCTCAAGAAGTTCCTGTCCTACCAGAGGCAAAGCAGCTTCCACAGACCCAGAAGGGGCTCCTCCCCAAGACTTCTGGGTTGTGCTGTTCACGTGTCATTTAATCCTGAGCACAGGTGAGACACTGCCACATCAAAGTAGTGACAGTAATACATTCCTACTGCATTTTTACTGCTTACCCAGCACTGGCCTAAATCCTAGGCCTGAATTTACTTATTTAGTTCACACCACCATGCCACAAGGTGTTATTATTATCCTGTTACAGAGGAAGAAGCCTAACGAAGAGCTGGTAAGTAACTGCCCACTGCCACCCAGCTGGCAACTTCATAATATGCTGGCAAAGGCTCTCTGTGGGAGTTTTTGTTCCTTGGCAGGAGAGGTTGCTAAGAAGGCTGGTGTCACCCTCTGGGCTTGTCCTTGGGGCTATTTGGAGGATCTGCTTACCTGTCAACATCCCCTAAGATTGCTGTAATTCTCGAACCAGATAATATAATCTATATGAAATGGATTATTTTCTAAAATCAGCAGTAAATACACCAATCAAAATAAATAGGTTTATTATTACATTTTATTGTTTGTTAAAGATCACAAAGATAGAGACAGAGCATAAATTTCACTTATTTATGTATTTTAGTTTGCATGAATTTTATTTATTTATTTTTATATATCTGTACTTTCTCTTTGCTTTGTTATTGGGTTTAACCAAGAGTTATTTTTACCAACCCAATCTAATAATAAGGTTAAAAAATTAATCAGGCTCCACATTTTCCTAAGCAACCACCACCCACATATGGTTTCCAGCTTGTCTCATCCACTGTTGTTATGATGATGATGATGATTTTAACTCTTTTTGTCCCCACAGGATCTTCTGAAGACAGTCTTGGATTTCCATAAACTGGGAAAGCTTGAGTTTAGTGGCATCAGAGGGAATGCACTGAGTCAGCAGGTCCAGCAAATGTACGAGGAATTTCAAGAGATCTACAGGGTCTTCTCAGAGTCTTCCTATGACTGTTTGGACCTCCAAAGCATGGTAGGGCTTGGAAGGGCCAAGCTGCAAGCTTTTTCTCTTTCGCAGGTGCCTCTGGAGGGTCAGTGGCATGATCACAGCTCACCACAGCCTCAACCTCCTGGGCTCAGATAATCCCTCTGCCTCAGCCTCTTGAGTAGCTAGGACTACCAGTGCATACTACCATGTATGGCTAATTTTTAAATTTTTTTTTTGTAGAGATGATGTCTCACTGAGTTGTCTAGGGCCGCAAATTCCTGGGCTCAAGCAATTATCTTGCCTTGGCATCCCAAAGTGCTGGGATTACAGGTGTGAGCCACCATGCCCGATCAGGTCTAGGTATTTCCTGGCATTTTCCCTGTGCATTTCCTTTGGCTCTGTGGTCCCAGTGGTTTTACAGATTAACCTTAGTGTCAGGATAAATTATTATTATTTCTTGCATCAAGAGAGAAACACTAATTATTCTTTGTGTCAGGATAAAGATTAGGAAGGCTTCTTCCAACTGCTAACTGCTCCATACTCATAATACCCAAGGTATCAGAGATGCTGAGATGGGCATGAGATGACAATGGAGGCTGTTGCCACCCTATGGCTTCGAAAGCTTAAAGCCAAGTGAAATAAGCCAGACCCAGAAAGAAAAATGCTTCATAAGCTCACTTATATGAGGCATCGAAAATAACCCAATTCATAGAAGTAGAGTAGAATTGTGGTTGCCAGGTTGCTCGGAGAGAGACATGGGAGGTGTGGGTCAAAAGGTACAAAGTTTCAGTTATGCATGATGAATAACTTCTGGTAGTCTAACAGACAACATGGTGAAGACAGTTAACAGTACTGTATGGTGTACTTGAAATGTGGTTGTACATCTTAAGTGTTCTCATCACACACACACAAGGACAACAGTAACTATGTGAAGTGATGGATATGTTAATTAGCCTGCTTTTGGTGATTATTTCACAATATATACATATATGAAAACATCAAGTTGTACACCTTAAATATATACAGTTTTTATTTGTTGATTATGCCTTAATTAAACTGGGGATGGGGGAATTTTAAGCGTCAAGCAGAGACTATGACGTGAAGGCCAGGAACACCTGGACAGAATTTTAATAGTGGTTTGAGGAGGGGTAAGTGAAGCCATAGTCTTGTTTTTCTGATCTGGATTCCCAGCCGAGTACTTAGGATGAGGAAAGCCAGAGATGGATTTTCCAGGTTAGAGACAAAGAGATCACCTTTCACCTGAAGCCCCAGGAAAGCCATGACCTGTGAGTCCAAGACCATAGGAAAAAAGAAAAAAAATGGGGGTTCAGTAAGAAAACAGGGAATGGCACTCCCTGAGAAGGTAAGGCAGAATTTCTGGGGAAGGAATTATAAGAGTATATAAGGGAAAAGGAGAAATAAATTAGGGCAAGAATCTGCTCTGAGCACCTTCCGATGTCCAGGGGAATCTTAGTTGGCCAGAACCCGGGAGATACTGTTTTCTAAAAATTAGAGATTTAAATTAACAAAGTTTCTCTGAAAATTGATATATTCTAAGAAAGGAATTACACCTAAGGTTGCCAGATAAACTGCAATAATTGGAACATACTGAAAAAAATTCATTGTTTAGCTGAAATTTAGATTTAACTGGGCGCCCTGTATTTTTATTTTTGAGTTGGAGTATCACTCTGTCGCCTATGCTGGAGAGCAGTATCATGCTCGTGGCCACCGCAGCCTCAACATGCTGGGCTCGGGCGACCCTTCCACTTCAGGCTTTCAAGAACTATAGGCAAGTGCCACCACGTTTGGCTAATTTAAAATTATTATTTATTGTAGAGATGAGATCTTGCCAAGTTGCCCAGGCTGGTCTTGAATCCGTGGGCACAGGCAATTCTTTCACTTCGGCCTCCCAAAGTGCTGGGATTATAAGCGTGAGCCACCACACCCAGCCTCCTCTATTTTTGTTTGCTAAATTTGGCAACCTAGGGAACAATGACTAGTTGCTGTCTTAACCAATTAAGGTGTATTTAGAAGAAATAGTTTGTATTAGTTTAATTAGCTTACTTTCCTCCTAATGGCTAGATTAGTTCACTTATGCTGAAAAAAACCAAAATTTTAAATTGGGGAAGGAAAGAAAGTATAGTATTTGTTGTAATTTTGAAAGGGTCCCATTGCTGGGGCTGTTGGCGCTGAGATGGTTTTCAGGGTAAGATGAGCTGGCTCTATGGGTGAGGGAGAAGGGGTTTCAGGAAGTGGAAGAGAGCATAGAAAGAGGGGTGAGAGTACACACCTTACATTTGATTCATAGCACTACTTTGTCCAGAGCCTCCAGGTGAAAATGGTGCAATAGTAGGGTACCTCTCTACATGGCTAAAAACTAAGTCATGTCATGGTGGATTCCAGAAAATTAAAATAAATCTTTGGTATAACCAATTCAAATGCATAGGCTAGCCATGAGGAACATTGTAGGATGGGCTTTCAGAAAATCATGTTTTCCTTATGTATTTGTGGTGTCTCTTCAGGACTTTGAAAATGATGTCTCTGAATTTAACCAGAGAGTAGAAGATCTTGACCGAAGATTGGGGACTATCTTTATTCAAGCTTTTGATGATACACCTGGTTTGGAACATGCCTTTAAGGTTTGTACACATGGGTAGACGCTCCTATCCTGGATATTCCCCTAGTCCAACTGTTTTGTTCCTGGAAATATTACTTCTTATTAATCTGATAGAGAGGGATGTGAGCATCCTAGGGCACGGGAATGTGCAGAATTGGGATTCTCAAGCTGATTACTTATGCTTTTCTGGAAACATGACCCATAAAAATACTTTTAAAAGGAGCTGCTTCTGCAGTGCTCTCTCTGGGCATCATACCCTTATCAGCAGGGTAATCATTAAAAGTGAGAAGATCTTCCTGTGGTCACCATCCTGAAGCCATGGCTCTGTATCGCGGCTCGTTAACCATGGTTGCTAGGTTGATTCAAGCTGGAGCAAACCACCTACCAGATAATGGATGTTGTGGTTGATAACTAGAACAAGACTTGTGCTCGTACCCTGTCTTGCTCAGATAGTATAGTACAGGTAGTGCAAAGAGTATAGAAAAGAAGTTTACAACAATGAGTAGATAAATGACTGCAGAGTCAGACATGAAGACTTGGTGGTGCATGATAAGTCTTCTATAAATGATCAAGAGGCTTATTCTGTGAAACTTAAAGATCAAAACCAGGGCTAAGTGGTAGAAGTTACAAGGAGGCAAATTTTGGTCACAGAGGAAAGTGACTCCTGTTAAAGCTGGGTTTGTTGTTGCTATTGTTTTTCTTTTTTCTTTTTCTTTTTTTTAGTTGGAGTCTCACTCCATCTCCCAATCTGGAGTACAGTGGCACACTCATGGCCACCACAGCCTGGGCTCATGTGATCCTTTCACCTCAGCCTTCCAAGTAGCTGACACTATAGGCATGCGCTACCATGCCCATCTTATTTTTTGATTTATTGTAGAGATGAGGTCTCACCAAGTTGCCCAGACTGGTCTTGAACCCCTGAGTTCAGGCAATCCTCTTGCCTCGGCCTCCCAAAATCCTGGGATTACAGGCATGAGTCACTGCGCCCACACTAAGGCTGTTTGAGATGGAATGGACTTCCTTGGCAAGTAGTTAAGTTTTCAGTCACTAAAAATGTCCAGACGGAGACTCTATGACTGATGGGACAATGGCAGAAGTGGCTTAAATCCTTGATGGGTGGGTCCATGCTATTCTAGAATACTGGTTAGCCCAAATGTGCCGGGCTTCATTAGACAATTATATATAAGTAAACTTCAAATATACCTGCTGTTCCATCACTCATATAGGAAGATTTTATGATTCCCTTGTCAAAGTATTTGAAGTAATTCCAAGGAAAGGGCTTACATGTGTCTACAAAATGATCTTGTATGTCATTATCATCGCAGCTAATTGGGACTCTACCACCCAAATAACTTGTGAAGCTGGAACTCCATCCATGCATTGAGGATGCCTACCTCTACCTGTCCTATAAATCCCTCTGCACCAGGGATTTCTAGGAGTCTTTGAGGGATGCCTCACATGTATTCCCAAGTCACTCTGTCTTTGAAATCATTGTGTATCTCTACTCATGTCTATAGTTCCCCTTGAAAATATCTACCCAGAAAGGTGCTAGAAGGAGTCTTGATATTGCTCTTCTGTTGGTCCCATCATGAAAACATCTATGTTTGTGACAAGGACATATCCCTCTGGATTCCAAAAATTTCAATCCTTAAAATGTTATGATGGAGTAGTGTCTGGGCAGAAGTAGAAGAAAACCTTTCCATCTTTGTGCCTGGCCCCTTAAGCAACACTGCTTGTACACAGACTCTCAAAAGGGCACTCATAAAAGCAGATTCTTTATCTTCTGACCCCGACTCTTCTTCTCAACAGGGCTTCCACCCCAGACCATGAGAACTGGCAGAAAAACCACAACCATCCGATCCCTTCTGTTTGCTTTGTTTCTCTCTTTTTGGACATCTCACCAACAAGAAACTGAAAACTTCCTTCTTCCTTCAGTCAAAGCTAAAGTTTCAATGGCTATAAGTTTATGCAAAGAAACTGTTTTTTTCAGGTTTGGGGTGTAGGGACTAGAGAAATGCCCTGACTCAATCCCTTATTGCTGCTATAAGATCATCCAACCACTAGGTGTCCCCTCAGTGGACATGAACAGACAGGGTCGGGGGAGGAGAGAGCTGGCCCCAGTGGTCCCTCAGTGCACATGTCTGTGGAAGTTGAGCCACAGAACTCAGTGGAGTCCTGCTCCCTTATGCCTCCATCAAGGCGAAACTACTTTCTATTTTCTCCAGAGATCCGGGTGATAGTTTTGTGGAGGAAGGGGTGGTTCTAGAGTCTTCAATGGAAGGTTTTTGGCACCTTTTGAGAGTCTTTAGAGTGCCTTGGAATCATTAAGGAAACCAAGTCAAACTGTAAGACCTGGCAAATATCTGACCAAGGACCGCCTGGTGGCTCTTCTCTGCATTTGGCCATTACCCATGACATGGCCTGGAGACCCAGGACTTATAGGAGCCATCTGGAATTCTGGGTCCATGGCAACCAGTTTCTGGAGCTTGCACTCTCTCCAGGCTTTGAAAGTCAGTAAAGCAAAATGCTCCAAAGTAAAATGGGGTGGTAGAAGAAGGATAAGATGTTAGACAAACGGAGTCTACTCAGCTTCCAGTTTTAGGATATGCAGATGTAAGCTTACATTGTATCTCTCACACTTACTGACTTAAAGCAATTGCTGGCAATTTTTTCCTACAAAGGGCCAGAGAATACATATTTTAGATTGGGTGCATATATACTCTCTGTCACATATTCTTCTTTATTTTTTAAATCTCTTTTTTGAAATGTAAAAACCATGCATCAAGGCTGTGAGCCAGACTTGGCCAGATTTGGCTGCCACTGTTGTTCTTTGCCAACCCCTGGCTTGAAGACAGAGATGGAGATGAGAGGTTATAATGGAAGGCAAGTTTAGAAGCAGTGTACTGGTGTATCCTAAAATAACTATAGTTCTACATGGCCTAGTCACAGTCAAAGAAACACAATCTAGGAACCAAAAGAGCAAATAGCAGCATTTCACATCTTGATTCTGCTGCTTCAGGAAACACAGAGGGGTTAGGACAGTTTTTGTGTGTAAGAATATCCTCAGCATCGCTGCCATTCCCAGGGCGACTGCTCTCTGAAATCTTTTTCTTGTTCCCACTCTCAAATTTTAGTCCTCCTAATTCTCCCCAATGCCCAGTCCTCTTGGCTGCTTCCTTTTGTTTTCCATCACCACCGTCCTTCTCTTTTAAGTCTTTATTATGTAGCTCAACTTGACCTTTCTGGCATTTTTAGTTTTCCTTTTGTTTTTACTCTTTTTCGGGTTTCTACAACAAAAGAGAGCCTGGTAGGTAACATGGCAGACAGGAATTCATCTCCTTTAGAAGCAAAGGAGAGGGGAAAGTCTATGAATATCCACATATTAATAATTACTGATCCTGTTCCACAATAACTATTGCTCACCTCCTCTTACACTGATAGACATGTGGAGGAAAAACCGGACATGGGACTTATATAACCATGGAAAGGTCTAATCTGTGACTTTTTTCTCTGCCCTCTCTACAGTTGCTAGACATAGCAGGAAACCTCCTCGAAAGACCATTAGTAGCAAAGGATGTATCTGATAAGTACCAGGTTCTCATCCACATGTTCAGTAAAGACCTGGAAGCAGTGAGGATGATCTACAGTCAGCATGTCCATGAAAAGGCTGAACTTGGTATGCTTGTTGAAGGGGATTTTGGTGGGGAAGTTCTGTTACTGGGAAGAAGCAACCCATTCTTCTTGTATTTGCTAGATGTTTATATATAATCTATGGCATTCTCCAAGTACAACCTCTTGCTTGAAATTACAGACCATCTTAGGTGATTGTAGAACTCACCCAACTGTACATTTCACTGTATCTGGGGCTGAGACTGGCAGGCTGACCCAGAGAAGTGCAGTCTTGACCGCCCCTGGTCAACTGAGATCTTGGCATAATGTATCAGTTGACCCTTGATCAATGTTGCTACGCTGACTAATCTTGAACATACCTCAGTTCTACAGTAGATGTTTCTATGCCTGAGAAAAGTTTCATATCCCTTCCAATGCCATAGCAACCATGCTTCTGGTGGGAGGAACCAGCAGGAGTCTGCCAAAGGGCAGTAATGCTAAGGCATGATGTCTCCATTTTCACTACAATGCTGAGATGCCCTGTCTTCCTGGTTGGAAATCAAAACATACATTCATTTCAATTTTATGAATATTTCTTAAGTCCTTGTTGTACGCAAGGCATGCTTGTGGGCACTGTGTGCTGTGGCAAGTCAGGGTAACGGATGAAATAATTAATAGGTTGCTCATAGAATGTGAGTCTTGTTCGACTTGAGTTATAAGGAATGATAACAAAACAAGATGAGTTGTGGCTGGGAGATTCAAGGGTAGGTTGATGGAGAAGGTGGTCTTGAGCTGAGCCCTGAAAGTTGAAGGATTTAACAATAAATCCTTAGTGGAGGCTAAGCAGGCACAAAAGGATGTGGAAGGTGATTGGTTGGAACTGCCTGTAGCCAAACAAGGTGTGCCGAGGTTCACCAGGTCAGCCACGGAGTTTGGGGTCAACTAATTATCACAGAGTTTGGAAACTCAAATGCCTTCAGAGGCTGTATTTGTTTCCTATTGCTGCATAATGTGACCACAATCGTAGTACCTTAAAATAGCTTCCATCTTTCAGCTCACAGTTCTATAGGTCAGAAGCCCAGCATCAAGTTGTCCATTTAGAGTATCCCGAGCTGAAATTGAGGCATTGGCCAGCCTGGGTTTACATTTGGAAGTTCTGGGTGAAAAAATCACTTCCAGACTCCTTCCTGTTGGGAGAATCCAGTTCCTTGTGATTGTAGGAGTGATATCTCCATTTCCCATTGATTGTCTGCCAGGGGCCACTCTCAGCAACTAGAAGCCACCTGAATTTCTTGCCATGTAGCCACCTCCATCTTCGAGCCAGCAATGGTGTGTTAAGTTCTCTCATGCTTCAAATCTCTGACTTCTGTCACCAGCCAGAGAAAACATTCTACATTATTATTATTATTATTTTGAGTTGGAGTTTCACTCTGTCACCCAGGCTGGAGTGCAGTGGCATGCTCATGGCCACCCCAGCATCAATCTGCTGGGCTCAGGCAATTCTTCCGCCTCAGCCTTTCAAGTAGCCAGAACTACAGGTGCATGCTACCATGCCCGGCAAATTTTTGATTTTATTGTAGAGATGAGGTCTCACCAAGTTGCTCAGGCTGGTTTTGAACCCCTGGGTTCAGGCAATCTTCTCACCTAGGCCACCCAAAGTGCGAGGATTATAGGCTTGAGTCACCATGCCCGGTCAACATTTTACTTTTAAAGGACTCACCTGATTAGGTCAGGTTCACCAAGGGTCCTCTACCTTCTGCCATATGATGTAACCTGACCGCAGAAGTGACATCTAATCATATCTGCAGTTCCACCCACACCTAAAAGTGAGGATTATGCAAGGATGTGAGGGCCATTGGGGGTCATCTTAGAATTTTGCCTATCATAGAAAATAAGCAGACAGTGAAAATAATGGACCTGAGCTGAGCATGCAACATCAGGAATGATGGAGCACATGATAAAATAAAGGAAGTGACTACTCTTCAGCTCCAGGTGCCAGTTAGAAATGCCAACTTATTCTTTCCAATATTCTAATTTGGCCAGAGAAACTGGAAACTTATATATAAGTTTATATATATATATTCACATATACATGAAATCTCACATTTGTTAAATCTTGGCAACTAATTATAAGCAAACAAACCCAATGTCTGGACTAAAATGAGAATATTTGGATTGTGCTAACTCTGTTCAAGTGCTTCATAATCCATATGGTCTATCTCATTTATAACATTATGCAATTCTCACAGATACCCTGGAAGTTAATTAAGTGGGGAGATATTATTCCCATTTTATAGATGAGAAGACTGAGGCCCAGAGAGATCAAGTTTTCTGTTTAAGACAGTATTTTTCAGCCCTGATTATACAATTATACTCATCTTGAGTGCTTTTAAAAAATACCAGTGACCAGTCTTCATCCAGACCAATTAAATCAACAAGTCTCAGGCAGGGGGACCCAGGTCTTCTGACATCGTAAATGTTCTCTTCAAGGTTACTCTTCCTTCCTTTTAACAGAACCTCCCAGACACTCCTCGGTGTGAGCCTAGGGTGACTTTAGTCTGGAGGTTAGATGAGGAAAAAGTAGAGTAACTGGTGGGAGGTGTTCACAGGGCGGAGAGGGTTGGTGATGATACCTAGCTTCAGTCTGGCTTGTGTCGTGTCCCCAGGGTTCTCCCCAGTGCACAAGAACATGCCCGCCATGGCTGGGGGCCTCCGCTGGGTACAGGAGCTGAGGCAGCGCATCCAGGGTCCCTTTGCCAACTTTAACCGCATCCCACACCCGTGAGTATCTTACTTCTGAAAGCCGGGCTTGCTTCACGCTGCTATTCCTGCTCTGGGTTTTGAGGGCTGTAAAAATGTGGCTCACTTACCTAAGGCAAAAAAATCATCTTTATTTCTTTCCATTTCCAGCAAGGGATCAGGTACCTATCGGCCGAACAGTCACAATATTGGTGCATTTGGACTGATGAGCAGGTCCCTTGTTGTTAAGTGAGGCATAACAAGCCACAGGCTGATTCCTTTTGCTCAGTGAGATTCATTTCTGGAGGAAAATGAGTCAGGGATTTCAAGCTCTGTGGAGTTCTTCCACTCTTCTCCCTCAGACAATGTCTGTGCTACTGAGGTCATGGGAAAATAATAAAGCCCCAAAGTGTGTTTCCTGGAGCTCGGTTTGAGGACCTTGTATATTAGGGCAGCCCTGGGACACCTGTTAAAGATGCAGTTCTGGGGCCTCCCCTGTCACCTGCTGAATCTTAATCTGGGCCCAAGTGTGATTCTGCTCCTTAGCAAGCTCCTCTTTGATTCTGATGGTGACCATTGGCTTGCTTCGTGGCTGAATCTGGAAGCCAAGGTGGAGGCATCTCAACTGCTAAGAGTGAGTGACAAAAGCTGTTTACGATGTTATGTTTAGGATGCGGCCTAAGGAAGGGCAGTCTTTCTCAGACTCCTCTTTCTAAAAGACTTGATCTTGTCGAAAGCACCCAGCTCTGGAAAACAAGACAGAAAAAAAGAATTGGAGTCTGGCCATTGGAATCACAGGGCTTTTAAAGCTAGGAAGGACCCTAGAGACCTTCTGGCCCAAATGGGGAGACTTAACAGAGTCAGAAGCCAACAAATGCATGACTAGTGAGGCAGGTGATACAAGACAGTGGGATGGGGTCCGCAGTGGCCGCCGCCACTCCACTCCAGTGTTGCCAAATGGAGAAACAGAGCCAGTGTGAGCAATCCCCTGACTGTTGGAGAGGAGCTGGACAGCTAGATTTTAAAATTGGGCTTTAAAATGATCAAGGACTCCATTTTTTTTTTCTCAAACCCAAGACAGTTCTAGCAAAGCATGCCTGTGAGTCAGATCTACACGGAGGAGGGGTCCATTTGTGCATCTGCTCCTGTCTGGGCAAACTCTTTATTTTGCAGATGAAGAAACCAAATGGAGGCAGAGAGAAGTGAGGTGACTTGCCTAAGGTTCTAAACACAGCCAAGGAAGAACTGGAAGAAGTCTAGGTCTCGGGGCTTCTAGCCCAGAGCTCTTCCTGGGGACCACCAGCCATGGGAAATTTGGCTGGGAGTAGGGCTGTGTCCTTATGCATCTTACCCATGCTCCCTTAGGCAGAAAAGAGAAGATATGTGAGTGGGGTGGGGAAGGATGTCAGGGTTGCTTCTAGAAATGTGAACTGCAGTAGCTGTCATAGGTCTGGCCCCCTGAAAGCAGAATTTAAGATGCATGTGCAGGAATTTGTGGAGATGTTCCCAGGAACAACACCCATGAAGGAGTGAGGGGAAAGGGACTGGACAGAGAGAGAAGTTGAATGGCAGCATAGTTGCAATGGAGGTCTTAGCAGAAGCTTCAGGGAGCTCTGGCCCTTGAGAACTCCCCAGCCTCTGTATTTCCACATCAGCTCATTGGATGCGGGCTTCCTGGTGAAGAGCTTGGCCTTGGTCAGGGTAGTTCTCTTTGGCTGAGGTTGTTCCCAAAAAGGGAGGCAGCTGAGCCTCATCAGCAGCCAACACCCCTGGCTGGAGTGGGAAGAGGGCAGGGGGTGTTACCAGTGCCTGGTCCCAAGAGGACATCTGGACAGCGCAACACAGCAGCCTCTACAATTCCCAGAAAAATTTCCATTTGTTCTAAAAATGAAATCAAATGTGTATTCTATGCCATAATATGTTTTTATTGGCTATTAAAAATGTTCTAGATTCCTGGTTATGAAGTGAGATGGAAGCTACAGGGAGTTTCTCTGTACTTATTCCTGCGACCTCCCAAGCCCACAAGGTGACATGCCCCACATGAGAAGCCACGCTCCGCTCTGGCCTCGTTCTCTTCCAGATACAAGACTGAGATCTGTAGTTGTGGGGCTTGTGGAAACCCACAACTTGTGAGGGGAGAGTGCCACAAGCACTTGAAGCACTTTCCACTTCTTGCTTCCTCGCAAATATGTCTGCTCTTTTACCACAAAAGAGGAGAAAAAATGCCAGCAAATCCAGTGCTTTCTCTGCAGGCGTGAGGGCTTATGTGGAAAGCTCAAGGGATCTGGTGAAGAAAGCCTGTGTTGGTTTAGAGAGCAAATGGGTTTTAAAGAATCTTTGCAATAAGCTGCCTCGTTTTGCTAGCAGGACAAACAAAACAGATCTTCGCGCGGTTAGTGTGAAGGTTTTGGAAAATTAAAGATACTTCACCGATTTTCCCAGGAGCTGGACTTTCATTTAGTGTTGCAGCAAGTGTCAAAACCAGGGAAAACAGTTGTGGTTTCTGGTACCTTGGGCCAGACTCTGCTTACTCTCTTCTGGAGTCCTCAGCATTCCTGCATGTGTGAGTGCATGTGTGTGTGTATGGTATGTGTATATGCATTGCTTATGCATACATTGGCAAGGGGGAGGGGGGAGCAGGGAGGGACCCTCATGTAAACATGTGACAGAGTGGCAGTGTTTCTGATTACATGTTCTAGATGGAGTGCAGAGTTATACACACACACACACACACACACACACACACACGCGCGCGCGCACGTACTGGGGGTGCCAAAATAATGTACATGCATTTTAAGAGATACTAACTTTTTAAGAGATGCATTACTTTTCAAAGTTGAATTGAATTACCGTAGCAATGTCTAGTATGACATTCGGTGAGAAGATGGCATTAAATGAATACTAGTGTAACCATGTGACAGGCAGGACAGTCAAAGGAAATGGCGGAAGCACGGTTGTTGTTTCAGGAGCACAAGACCATTTTGAAGTGGTATTTGAAATTCTAGAACCAATGTTGTGGAAGTACAACAACATTGGAGGAGTGAGTATGCAACAGAACCTCTAACACACCTGACAATTGCACGCATTCGTGATAAGTTTGAGACGCATGGTACTGTGTGGATGTGCACAAGGGAAGATCCAAGAGGCCTCACACAGCAACAAGTCCTGCAGTAGTTTACTGTAATCAGAAGTGTCTAGATACTGATGGTAACCACTTTGAGCACCTCTTGTAATTGTAGAAGTCAGGCATGACTTGTATTCGGTGTGACTTGTATTCATCTTTTGTTATTGGTATATATTAAGTATTACAATTTTAATACAGTTCTTTTCCTTTCTTAAAATGAGTGTTTTTTTTTTACACTCTTTGTATTTACCTACGCATATAATGATATACAGTCATACATCACCTGATGACAGGGATACATTTTGAGATTTCATTGATGTGTGAGCGTCACAGAGTGTACTTACACATATACCTAGATGGCAGAGTCCACTACACACGTAGGCTATATGGTCTACTGCAAACCTGTACAGCATGTGACTGTACTGAATACTTCAGGTAACTGAAACACAATGGTACGTATAGAAAAGGCACCCTAAAAATATCATACAAAAGATTAAAAATGGTTCACCCGTATGTGACACTGACCATGAATGGAGCTTGTGGGACTGAAAGCTGCTCTGAGTGAGTGAATGGGTGAGTGAGTGTGAAGGCCTAGATCTGGGACATTTCTGTACACTCCTGTCGATGTTACTAATACCACACACTTAAGCTACCCCACATTTATTTAAATATATTTTTCTTTATTCAATAATAAATTAAGCTTAGCCTACCATAACTTTTTTACCTTATAAACATAAATTTTTTAAAAATGTTTTTGCTCTTAACACAACTTAAAACACACTGTACACTTTTACAAAAACATTTTCTTTGTATCCTTATTCTATAAGCTTTTTTCTATTTACATTCTTTGTAACTTTTTAAAACTTTTTGTTAAAAACAAAGGCACAAACACACACATTAGCCTAGGTCTCCACGGAGTCAGGATCATTGGTGTCTCTGTCTTCTCCCTCCACATTTCATCCCCCCAGAAGGTTTTCGGGGCCATAACACATATGCATGGAGCTGTCATCTCCTGTGATAACAATACCTTCTACTTTCTGAAGGACTTGCTTGTGGCTGTTTCACGGTTCGGTCTTTAAAAATAAATAGATAAATAGAAGGAGTACATTCTAAAGTAACCATACAAAGTACAGTATAGTAAATACATAGGCTAGCATCGTCGTTTATTATCATTAAGCATTATGCACTGTTCATAATTGTAGGTACTATACGTTTACACAGCTAGCCACATAGTAGATTTATCTACACCAGCGTCACCATAAACACGTAAGAAACGCAGTGCGCTGCGACATTAGGATGCCTACAGCATCACTAAGGGACAGGAATTTTTCAGCTCCATTATAATCTGATGGGACCGTCGTATGTACAGTCCATTGTTGACCAAAATAGTCATTATGCGGCACATGACTATATAAGACATTGATCGTTTTTTCTTAATTCCCCTTTTATGGATATGTTTGAAGGATTTCACCTTTTGCATGACTGGCTCAGCTAAGTAAGGGGGTTGGTGGAGCCATGGACAGGAAAGGTTATGACATCTGTCGCCCGTGGGGCTGCCTGCATTTGAGGAAGTGCAGGTGCCCTCTAGTGGCCAGAGGAAGATGTTCGGGAGGAAGAGCGCAGTCTCTTTTAGGGGCATTTGGAAATCAGCCCAGAAGCTATTCACTCTCTTCTTTATAGGCGGCAGTTTGATCCTCAGATCATTACTTTGATTTCTTCTAATTCTGTGTCTTTTTTTTTCTCTTTTGTATGGGTAGTTGTATGGAATCTGCCGAAGGAAAGCAAATGTTACAGAAATATGAAGATATGCTGTCACTGCTGGAAAAGTAAGCAGCTTCTGGGATTGCATTGTTCTGCAAATTGCACAGCCTCCACGATGCCTTTTGCAGTTCCCAGTTTGTGCAGATTCCTCAGTGGCTCTGAAATGTCATTTTGTGTTTTATGTTATAACCATGATATTTATGACTATAGTATTTCTGGGTTGTACACACGGGGTCTCTGGGGAATGCAGCTCAATTCGAGAATCAAATATTTCTGCAGGATAGTTTTGCTGGGAGTGTGAACTCTGGAGAGCTAGGAGAAGTGGCTGCTATTCATGGCGCTTCGAGGTCAGTGTCATGGAAAATCGCAGCAGCTGCCACTAAGCAAAAAGCAACAGTGCATGCCGCACAAAAAAGAAGAGGTTTTTTTTTTTTTTTTTCCAAGTCAGAGTCTTACTCTGTCACCCAGGCTGCAGTGCAGTGGCACGCCCACAGCCGCCGCAGCCTTGAACTGCTGAGCTCAGGCGTTCCTTCTGCCTCGGCCTTCCAAGTAGCTAGAACTATAGGCTCGCACCACCACACTTAGCTAATTTTTTTATTTATTGTAGAAATGAGGGCTCACCAAGTTGCCCAGACTGGTCTCGAACACATGAGCTCAGGAAATCCTCTCACCTCGGCCTCCCAAGAAGAGTTTTAAAGATATGTTCTGGGCTGGGCACAGTGGTTCACACCTGTAATCCCAACACTTTGGGAGGCTGAGGTGGGAAGATCTCCTGAGCCCCAAAGTTCAAGACTAGCCTGGGCAACACAGAGAGACTCTGTCTTTATGTTTTTAATTTTAAAATTAATTAATTTATTTATTTGAATCAAGATCTCACTCTGTCTCCAAGGCTAGAGTGCATGGTACAATCATGGTTCACTGCAGCCTTGACCTCCTGGGTGCAGGCGATCCTTCCATCTCAGCCTCCCAAGTAGCTGGAACTACATGCATGTGCCTTCATGCCTGGTTGATTTTTTTTATTTTTTGTAGAGAAAAAGTCTCACTATGTTGCTTAGGCTGGTCTGCAACTCTTGGACTCAAGCAATCCTTCTACCTCAGCCTCCCAAAGTATTGGAATTATAGGTGTGAGCCACCATACCCAGTCAAAAAATTTTTTTTAAAAATACATTCTATATCTTTTGGTGGAGAAAGAAAGCACAGGAATGAAAATTTTATATAGATTCATAGTCAGTACTGCTTTAAAGCCAAGTCTTTGGAGTGCAGGGTCTAGAAACAGCTGTGGTCTTGGCTTCTTCCCCTGCTGTTTGCTTTGTCTCCTGATTCAAGAAAGAAGGATGGTGGATGTGATTATAATTATGACTAGCATTGTTTTAGACAGATCACCTGTTAGGCAACTTACATCCCAGCCCTTCACCTCCCAAACAACTTCAAGTCCATCCACTCCCCTTCGTCTCTACACCAGCATGTTTGTAAGAGACTGGACATTCTGACCTGAACTGCTGCAGCAGCTTCTTGAACAGGCCTTCCTATCTCCAGCTCTGTGCTCCTCAGTGCCCACACTGTTATGGAATCCGATAATTCACAGTAACCCCCACCAGCTGGGAGGCCTCTTAGTGGTTCCATTGTCTCCTTCATGTGACATGAAACACCCTCCCTGAGGTGGTCTTTGTCTCCCTCTCATTACCTCCAACCTCTGACACATTATCTTGTCTTTGTTCCCAGCACCCTGTTGCACTGTTTTTCACTCTGTCCTTTGGGCATGTTGTTGCTTCTGCCGGGAATGATCACTCCCTCTTCACTATCCAACCTCTGCTCACCCTCTGAGACTCAGTCAAGCATCACTTCATCACCTCTCCTATGAAACTTTCCCTGGCATTTTCCTTATCATCCCCTACACCCCTTCTTTTCCAGTAGATGCCCAATGCCCTGTACATTTATTTGGGATTGTACTTCCTGCACTGTACTGTGATGCTCCATTTGCCATTCCCACCATTAGTTGCCTTTATCACGAGGTACTTATTCATCATTTTATTCCCCAAGCCCAGCACATGGCAGGTGCTCAGTGAAGGTGTAATGACTGAATGACAAATGTTCATGAGCTACTTCAAGATTTGTGTGAGAGAGCAAATCTTCCCCAGTAACTTCTTTCAAGGTTTCCGGAGATTAATCACACTCCCTTTTTTCCCCCTCAAAAGATCACATGAAATCTTTCTCCTCTCACTGATTTAAGCTATGCCACCTTTAGAAACTAGTGGTTACCTGCAGAAGCTGACCCAGCCCGACTGGGTCAATGGCTAATAGCATCTTCAGTTCATGTTATAGAGTCTGACCAAGCATTGGGGAGCTGGGAGGGTGCTTGTGAGTGACTTTTGTCTCTGACTCCTGCAGGTATGAGACAAGACTTTATGAAGACTGGTGTCAGACAGTATCAGAGAAATCACAGTACAATCTTTCCCGACCACTTCTGATACGTGACCCAGACACGAAGCAGATCATTGTCAACTTTAACCCACAGGTCAGTCTGTGACAATAACTCCCCTTTGGGTTTTTGAAGAGTTCCTTTTAACTCTGCTGATTTCAAAGGCAAAAAAGCTTTTTGTAAAAATATACAAAAGCTGCTCAAAATAATTTGCACTGTTTCTTTTTTGGATGAATCCTAGGGTACACTGTTTTTGGAAGTTGTGCACATTCACGTTTTTCTCTAGGGTTGCTTGATATATTTGTTTTGATTTTGTGCCACAAGAAATACCAAAAAATATAACTGACCACTTAGTACCAAACATAGCCCACTGGGCATACATTGAATACTTACTATGTGTGAAGGCTGTTGACTACTTGCTGGAGGGGAACCAAGTGCATGTTAGACTTGGCTCCTGCCCTCAAGGAACCCACTGTCTAGTTGGGAGTCAGAATGTCAACATGCAAATTTCTATCTTTGTTAGATAGCATATGGTTAATCTCAAAAGAGTAACTTTGGAGATAAGACTTGAGATTAGTGGTTTTCAACTGAGGGTGATTTGTTTCTCTGGAAACATTTTTGTTTGTCAGACTTGGAAGGGCTGCCAATGGCACCTAGTGGGCAGATACCAGGGATGCTATGAAACTTCCTGCAACGCACAGGCTAGCACCCCACAGCAGAGAGTTACTTATCCAAAAATGTCAATAGTGCTGAGATTGAGGTACTCAGTTCTATAGGATCGGAAGGGTGACACATCGGTCTGGAATGTAGCAGCCACAGAAAGCTTAATGCTGGAGAAAACAATAGCCAAACATCACTCAGAAACACCACTCAGGTAGAAAGAAAATTGTGTTGGTCACACTGAGCTAAAAACAGTCACCTTCTGCTTTGATGGCATGGTCTCCAGGAACATACTATAGACAAAGTTGAAAACCAAGTTGATGACTGATCAGTTTAAATAGAACATCAGTCTCACCCCCCTCCCCACCACCCTGCCACTCCAGGAATTAAAATCAACAAAGGAAGTTAGAAGATCCATTTCTTCAATTTGGTAAGACATGACTCTGCTGCTTAACTCACTTTGCTCCTTGGAACAACTTTATCAGCATTTGCTGTGAATAATGTTGAGTATTAAGTATCCAAAGAGATGTCTGTCTGGATTACCAAATAGGCCACAGTCTGCCTGATGTAAGATAGTAATTAGGTCTTTGACATAAGACAATACTTGGTCCAGTATTGAAGATGGATCTGCCGTCTCTATATATTCCAAGGAGAAGGACTCTATCTGCCCCAATATGTAGCACATAGTGAGTTCTTTATAGGTATTTGTAGGTGACAAAAGAGAAAGAAGGAAGAAAAGAAAGGAAAGAAGGAGACTATAATGTGAGTTGATGGGGGCAACTTCAAACATAACAGGTCAAAGAAGAGTTACAATCACCCCCATGAATACAACTTCAAGCAATTTGGCCATAGCTGAGTTATTAAGACTGGACAGTAGTATATTTAACTGTCTAGAAAGATATAATCAAAGATTTGCCCCTCCAGGAACAGGATAAAAATTGTATAGGTTAATTTTAATTTATGTAAATTATTTTAAATGCCCTATTATTGAGTACTGTGATTATTTTACAGTTTCATCAGTCTATATTTCATTGATTCTAGTATGTGCATTTTAATGTATTTACATCTCTGAAATTGGTATGTGTTTACAGATTAATGAACCACATTTTTTCCTTTCTTTTTTGATTGAACATAATAGTGAATCTTACAACTGATATCTTCTTTTTTATTTTCTAATTTTGAGTCAGAATCTGGCTCTGTCTCCTAGGCTGGAGTGCAGTGCCACAATCATGGCTCACCACAGCCTCAACATTCTGGGCTCAGGCAATCCTTCTGCCTTACCCCTCCACCCCCACCCCAAAGTAGTTGCGACTGCAGGTGTGCACCACTACCATTATAGTCAGCTTTTTTTTTTTTGAGAGAGAGATAAGGTCTCACAACACTGTCAAGGCTGTCTTGAACTCCTGGGCTCAAGTGATCCTCTCCACTCGACCTCCCAAAGTGCTGGGATTATAAGTGTGAGTCACTCTGCCAAGCCCAGTGACATCTTAAGTTGGAAAAAATATGATATAAATAATGATTCAGTAAACATCTTTAGTTATTGGTGCTTGTATTCTTGATTATTTCTTTATGCTAAATGCCTAGAAGTAGAATTTCTGGGATAAAAGTATTCACATTTGAGACTTTTTATTATCAAACTTGTTCTTCAGAAAGATGGAACTTAGTCATCATTCTTCCAACAAGCTATGATTTATTTTTTAAAATAGTTTCTAGTCTCTTGAACTAATATATATATGTATATATGTATTACATATATCTAAAATATGTCAATGTTGTTTTAATGCATTTACTTGATTACTAGTGAAGTCAACATTTCATGATGTATTCATTAGTCACTTATATTTCTTCTTCTATGAATTGCTTGTTCATGTCCTTTTCTACTTTCTAGGTGCCCTTTCTTACTGTAAATTTGTTAGAGTATTTAGAAAATATCTGTCAGCTATTAAGAAATCTGCTTAAACAATTTTTGCCAGTTTCAGGTGGTCATTTTATTGTGTGTATGATGTTTTAGGCACAAACGATTTTATGTTTTAGTTTTTGGTTTTATGTTTGAACTGACCATCTCTACCTTCATTATCATATCAATAACCACACATATTTTCTTTCAATATTTTGTTTTCACTTTTTACAGTTAAATTTTTAATATCCACCTTGAGCTTATTTTAAAGTAAATGAGGAGTCTAAATTCATTTCCTCACCAAATGGTTAGCATTTGTCTGAGCTCTGGGTGGAGTTGGTCTATCAGCAATGAAAAATTAGCTCAAATCACTAGAAGGAGAGCTAGCAAGTCTGCGAATCTTTATATGAAGGGGAGATGGGGAGAACCTATGGCTTTGTATCTGTTTTGTCACCTGTACCTACGCACATCAGTCTCAGATAGAAACATCAAGAAAGGATGAAGAAGAGTGTGCCCACATACCCTCTTGGAGGCCTCTCTGTCATTTCATTGGATTACATCTACATGGCTTCTCCCGTCTTCAGTTGTCACAAAACTTGGGGCCCCACAGAAGTTCAGAGAGGCCTGGATAACTTCTATTTCTTGACCTTCCAGCATATTAAGGCACAAAGAAATGCCATATTTCAAATGATGATATTTTACACTCAAAGTTTTATCATGGGCACCTATCAATCATGTCAATGTCTCTTTATGACTAATGTGTTTGGCCTCATTTGGAGAGAATATTGTAAGTCTACATTTATATCCTCTCATGAATGTGGGTGATCCAGGCCAGATGATCCTCCTCCTTCAAACTGCCACCCCGCTATAGGAACTGACTCGGCCAGCATGTACCTATCATTTCAGCAGCCACATTGCCCAAAGCATAGAAAGCAGAGTCCTCTCCTGCTATCATGGATGTCTCCTTTCTTAGATTTCCTCTCCTTGCTCTTTGTTTATGGTTTACAGATTTGGTAAACATTGCCACTTTCTGAGTTATCTTCCTTCTACCTAATGCTTGATTCTCCTTCTCTGAGATTAGATTTAAGGAACTGGTAGGAGCAGAAGGTAAGAGAAGAGACCCAGAAAATCTTTGGGCCCCTTGGAATTGTCGTTTTTGACTGATGCTGCTGCTTGTTCATCATCTCTGAACAATGGCCTCTTGTCTTGCTGTTCTCCAGCTGATTTCAGTGCTGAAAGAAATGAGCTACCTTGAACCCGGAGAGATGAAGCACATCCCTGAGACAGCAGCAGCCATGTTCTCCTCCAGAGAGTTCTACCGGCAACTTGTGGCTAACTTGGAGTTGATGGCAAATTGGTACAACAAGGTTATAAAAACTCTGCTAGAGGTGGAAATTCCATTGGTTGAGGAAAAGCTGAACAATATTGATCTGTGCCTGAGAGAAGCAGAGGAGACTCTGAACTGGAAAACAGAAGGTAACAGGGCATCACCTGGAGTCTGAAAAAAAAGATGTTGGGATTCAAGGATCCACTAAAGTGAATAGAGTTTTATGTTATTTTCTGGGAATCTGATCTGGATTTGAAACACAAGTCCATCTTCTCTTTTAACACATATTCAAGCAGAGATGACAAGGAGTGTTGGTATTCCTCTTCTTCCTTCTTTTTGGATATGATTAGTAAATTTAGAAAACTTTGCTCCATGCAATTTGGGAGACTCAGAGGTTGCATATGATCTTCCAGTCTCCAGCAGATACAGGGCACTCCATGAATTAGCGTTTTTGCTATATTATCATTGTTATTTAATTTTTTAAACCATACGGCAAACATCTTAAAGGAGGAGACTATGCATTTACTGCTCTGGTATCCCCCAATCCAATTTAATAAACTTTTGTCGGCCAATTAACATGTGTAGGGTACTATGTGAGAGACTATAGGGACAATATGAGATGTGAGATGCACGGATGTGGTCTCTACTTTCAGAGAGCTCACGTTTAGTGGGAACAGCAGACATGTGTACTAAACCTAAATCATACAAGGCTGACTATGATGAAAAGCCACCACAGAGTTAAAAATAAAGTGTGATAAATTACAAGGGAGAGAAATTAATTTGAATTAAGGTCCTTAGAAGAGTTAAAGTGTGAAAAGAAGGTCACAGTCGACTCATATGAGTCTTGGAGTGCCATATTAAACATGTTGGAATTTTATTTCACATGTAAGGGGAAATGACATTTTCAGCATTTAATACAGCAAAAGTACTAAAAATAAGAGACTGATGAACCCAAATAAAGTTATCAAGTTTCACTGGCATCTGGATATAAAATTGTATTCCCTAGCAACTGTACCAACTTTCATGTGCTTGGTAGGCAAGTATTACCTCTTTGTTTCTCTTCTTTCATAATAAGGATCTTGGTAAGAGGTGCCTTTTTAATACAACTAGGAAGGAAATTGTTCTAATGATAGTAAAACAATAACCTGTACATAAAAGTCATATAAAACTTGCAAGTATTAAATCTCTATCTTTCATAGCAAGTAGGCCTTTAGCTAGCCACTGTAGGCAATTTCAATTAATTATATTTCTTTTGGGGAGCAGGCATTTGGGATTATGTCATTCAAATCACCAGCAGTATTCATGATCTTGAACAAAGAATTCAGAAAACTAAAGACAATGTGGAAGAGATTAAAAACATCATGAAAACATGGGTGGTTCCAATATTTAAGAGAAAAGATGGAAAAAGGGAATGCCTTCTTTCTCTGGATGATCAGCGTGGTAGAAAGGAAAGATATTATAATCTCATCAAAGAATCTGGCCTTAAAATTCATGCCCTTGTTCAGGTAATAACCAGTCTCTTGAATGCACATACCATGAGTATAGTAAAAGCATCAAGTACTGTGTTTGTGTGCAAGATGTGATTTGGAAATTAGAACAATCTATTGATGTGTTTTTGTGCAAGATGTGATTTGGAAATTAGAACAATCTATTGATATGTCTTCTGCAGTCAAGGAGAGAAGTTTATACTGATAGTAAAAGAATAAAGCTAATAGACAAGGGGAGTGAAGGGTCACATTCTAGTACCAATGTGTCAAAATTAATAGCATCTTAATGGTAGCACCACTTAATTTTCACATGACTTAAGTCTCACATGTAGCCCCAAGGAGATAGAAAGAGATCCCAAGAGTGAAATCCTAAATAATCCACTGCCTTACCACTCCCATGTTCAACTCACTCATACAACCTAATGTGGTCTTCCAGCATAATCCTGACAGCCTAGCTGTACATAGTCTAAAGAAGTGATAAATTACCATGGTATCCCTAACTGCTTCTGATATGCTGAATTATAAATGCCAAGTGTTACACTTCATACAGTAAAGATCTGCCCTGCATTATGGTGAGGACATCTCCATGTCCAATCATTAAAGACTAAAAGCTTCCTTGTGAACAATGGGAAAGGGTTATAAATGGCCATCAGCTCCAACCCTACTGAAGTAGCCATATGACAATGTTTGGCATATTGACTCAAGTGGTAAGTCAGAAATGAATCAGTTATATGTGGGTTATCTGTGGTTTGAAACACAATAAAAATGTTGAGACTTAAGCACTAATGATGACAAGAGTTAAGTGAAGGAGATAATTACTGAAATTTTGACTTTGAAAGATAAAAACTTTCCATTTGATTTATTTCTTTAACCCCCTTTGGTCCGATATCCAGTAATTTAATAGCTAGCATAGACCCAAACATCTACTCTTCATCTGTCTTTCTTTCATCCAACCATCCATTCATCTACTCATCTATTCATCCATCAGCTGTATTTCCAGAACTTTCCTAGGCACTATATTGAATATAAAGAAAATGTAAGGTGTCATCCCAGCCTTGAAGTAGAAGAAAACCATTTGGCAAAACCAAGAAATTACTTAAGATGTTACAAGTTTAAAAACTACACACACACACACACACACACACACACACACACACACAACACACACCACACACACACATCTGTCTATGTGATGACAAATGCTCAAATCTATGTTCTTGAGAGTCAAAATGAGAGAAAATGTAGAGAATTAAACTGCTTAATCAGTGAGACAAACACAGAGATCTAGAAAAAATACACATTGTAACATCTTAGTTGTCCAGAAGTCAACCAGGAAATAACCAAAAATGACCTCAAGCCAAAATACTTGTCACAAAAGTTACTCTAAATGTTCAGACAATTTAATAATAACTCTTTTTACAGCACAGTAATAATAGTCCACATTTTTATTGTGTCTACCATGTGCCAGGCACGGTCCTAAGCACTGACCATGTATTATTTCATTTAATTCTCATACAATCATAGATACTCTCATTCTCATTTTATAGATGAGAAAACCAGGGCACAGAGAAGTTAAATTAAATGCCTAAAACTTCTCAGCCAATTTGAAGCAGAGCTGTCTGACTCTAACTCTGCATTTATGCAGTATACTACATAACTTCCACAGTAGTCAGGAGAACTCCTTAGGCCAGACACAAAGCTTTGTAATCAGGTCTTCAATAATGTTTACATGTTGATAATATATATATATATTAAGATAAAAACCCTGAACAGAAACTCATGAATAAAAGAGATTTTCCTCTCTCGCTCTCTCTCTCTCTCTTTTTTTTTTGCTTATTGATACATAGTAGGTAATAAATAAATGAGTTGAATAAAAGAATTGAATATTTCCTTTTGATCATTTTCTGTGTATATAGATATACTTTTACAAAAATATAATCTTTGTATATTGTATAACATACATACATTACCATGTGCAGACATTAAGTGTTCCTATTCAGTAAGTTTTTACAAATACATACACTTGGGTAACTACCACAGTATAGAACATTGCCATCACTCTAGAAAGTTCACTTGTTCCATTTCATCAATCCATCTCCACCCTCTCACCAGTTCATCATTGAGTAGCTTTCTGTCACTATAAAATAGATTAATCTTTTCTAGATTTTCATATAAACGGAATTATGTAGCATGTACTATTTTGTGTCTGCCTTTTTATACTTGGCATAATGTTATTGGGATTCATCCATATTGTTGCATTTATTTAGAGTCTATTTATTTTTATTGCTAGAATTCTATTAGATAAATACAACAGAATTTGTTCATCCATTCCCCTAATGATAGTTTTTAAGTTATTTCTAGTGTTTGGCTATTATGAATAAAGCTGCTATGCATAGTCTTATATAAGTTATTCCATGGATATATATTTTCATTTCCCTTGAGATTTTCAGAGTCATAGGTATACATGTGCTTAACATTGAATGATTGCCCAGTAGTTTTCCAAACTGGCTGTTTAATCTCCCACTAGCAATATAATATAGTTCAATTGTTCTACCTAGTCACCAATTTTTGGTGTTATAGGTCTTAATTAATTTTGTCATTTTTGTCAATGTAGGTGGTATCTCACTGAAATTTTAATTCGTATTTCTCTGAAAACTAATAATGTTGAACACTTTTTCATATGCTGATTGACCAATTATATGTATTCCTTCATAAAGTGCCCACTTAAGTCTTTTACTCATTTTAAATTGGATTGTAAGTTTTAGGAGTCATTTATGGATTCTAAATGCACATCTTTTGTTAGATATGGGTATTGTGAATAGTTTCTTCAACTCTGTGGCTTGCCTATTTTCTTAATGGGGTATTTTGATGAAAAACAGTTTTAAATTTCGATGTAGTCTAATTTACTTTTTTTCCTTTTATGGTTACTGCTTTTGTGTTCTATCTGAGAAATCAACCTACCCCGAGTTTTCAAATATATTCTTCAATATTTTATTTTAGAAGCTTTATAGTTTTAGATTTTGTATTTAGGATTATAATCTGTCATGAATTAATTTTTGTTTATGAGGTGATATATGGGTTGAGGACATTGTTTTACATATTAACATTTGACTATTCGTATACCATTTTATGAAAATACTTTTCTCTATTGAATATTTGGCATCTTTGTTGAAATCAGTTAAGTGTATAAGATAACAATAAAAAAAGTATACTGTATAACATACCAATACTACTCTTTCTTGGTTATTGTAGCATTAATTTACTTAAATATATTTTTAGTTAAAGTCTCACTCTGTCGCCCAGGCTGGAGTGCAGTGGCACGACCACAGCCACCTCAGCCTCAACCTGCTGGGCTCAGGTGAACCTTCTGCCTCAGCTTTCCAAGTAGCTGGAACTACAGATGTGCACCACCATGCTCAGATAATTTTTTTATTTATTGTAGAGAAGAGGTCTCGCTAAGTTGCCTAGGCTGGTCTCGAACGACTATTGCAGCATTATAAGAAGTCTTGAAATCAGGTACTCTAAGTCCTCCAAACTAGACTCTGTTTTTCAAGATTTTTTGGTTATTCTAGGTTCTTTGCATATCCACATAAATTTTAATTCAGCTTGCCAATTTCTAGAAAGAAAGTAGATGTGATTTTTATTAGGCTTGCATTAAATCTGTAGATCAATTTGTGGAAGATAAAGATCTCAACAATATTGAATGTAGCAATCTGTGAACATGGAATGTCTCTTCACTTAATTAAGTCTCTCTAATTTTTCTCTGCAATGTTTTGTAGTTTTTAATATATGTCTTGCATATTTTCCATTAAATATATCTCTAAGTGTTTCATGTTTTTGGAAGATTACTGTAAATGGAATTATGTTCCTAGTTTTATTTTCCAATGCTATCAGCTAGTATATAAATTGTAATTGATTTTTGCATATTGATATTATATTTTGAGACTTTTCTAAATTATTAGATGTAGTAGTAGTACTTTTGTAGATTTCTTATGATTACCTATGTAAATAATCATGCATTTACAAATAGAAACTATTTTACTTTTATATTTCTAATTTTTATGTTTTTTATTTATTTTTATTGCCTTACTGCTCTGGTTAGGACATCTAGCACAATATTGAGGTGGTGAGAATAAACATTCTTGCTTTATTTTCAGTCATCTGGGAAACGTTTAGTAATTTATCATTAAGCATAATAGTATCTGTTGAGTTTTTGTGGATGTTCTTTCTCAGACTCAGAAAGTTCCCTTTTATTTCTAGCTAACTGAAAGATTTTATTATGATTAAATGTTGAATTTTATCATTTTTTTCTGCATTTCCTGAGATGGTTATATCATTTTTCTACTGTAATCTATTAATGAGCATATTCTTTTCTTTCTTTTTTAAAAATATTAAGTCAACCTTGCATTTCTGAAATGTCCACTTGGTCATGTTTCATTATCCTTTTTGTATATTATAGGATTTGATTTGATAATTTAAAGAATTTTTATGTATATGTTTATAAATGATATGGATCTCTACTTTTCTCTTCTTTTAATGTTCATGTCTGATTCTGGTGTCTAGGTTATGCAAGCTTTAAATATGAGTTGGCAAATATTTCCTCCTTTCTTTTTTGAAAAAGTTTGTGGAAGATTGGTCTTATCCCCACCATAAATGTTGATAGAATTGACAGGGGAATGCTTCTGAACATGGAAGTTTCTTTTTGGGAAAGTATTTGATAATGATTTCTTTTGTAACTAAAAGACTAGATGTTTTCATATCACCTTTGTCAGTTTCTGCAAGTTGTTTTTTCAACAAATGATTCTATATTTTTTATTTATCAAATTGGCAAAAATTTGTTCATAATCATTTTTACTGTCATCATGTGTCTAAAAATATGTAGTGATGCTTCCTCTTTCATTTCTAACATTGAATTTTTGTTTTTTAAAATCATTTTATTCTAGTTACTTTGAAGTTAATTGCTTATCTCTTCTTTTAGCCTCTCAGGGTACAAACTCAGGGTATTGATTGATTTTAGA